TGGTGGATTTTGTGTCCACAAAGTATATAATGTATGGCACTAGTGAAGCCAAAGAAAATGGTGACATTTAAGATACTGGTGCACAGATTAGCAATTGCTGAAGTTGAAGCAACTATAAATCATAAACCTCAGATAAATAAATTTGTTTCACAGAATTTAAATGCAACAACTTTGTACAAATGAGTTTCATGCAGAATGTGGTATTTGTGGCGCTTATGAGCTTCAAATAAGTTCAGACTAAAAACAACTCAAATGTACAATATTATTATAGTAAAAAAACTCTTATGTTATCTTCTTTCGGGACACTTTTCAGGAATACAAGAGGAAACTGACGATGGTGTCGCAGGTCCGGAAAGAACTGCGGTTGCGCCTCAATAACCTCTCAGAAGGACATCGCAACTCTTCCAAATGACTGCCAATACTCGCCTTCTCACCAGTTCTCAACACAGACGGAAGCAGCATCTGTTCTCACCTGTCTTCACTGGACTATTTATCCATGTCTCTTGAGTCCCAAGTGTCTACATCTCCATTTGCAAGCTCATGTTTTTAATTTAACGATAAGTTAAGATTGTATCACAGGACTTTCATGTGGTGATACCTTACAGCTTTAAAGTGGTGTGACTGGGATGATTTTTTTTTTTTTTGACAACTTGAGGCATCAGAGTGTAGATCCTTTTAAGTGTTGACGATTCAGGAGTTCCAGTATTGGGATGTTTTTGTAATATGCCTCGCATCGTTTCGACATATTTACGTAGCTTTTTTTGTTAGAGATCACTGTGGAAGTCACTCGAGCTGGAATCACTGATTTTATAGTGTATTGGGGGGGAAAAAATGTATATTTTGAGATTGTCAGAAAACATTGGAAATCCAGGTTCCATAAAGCAAACTGTGTTTACGCATTTCATGAACCCTGTTTGTGAAAGGATCGTCTGAAAACCTTGCTCAGTGTACACACATTTGCATGTAAACATGATGGAAATCATAAATGTTTATGATTTGTATTCATCATCCAGATTAAGATACAAGTAGCTTGGATATTTGTTTTTTTAACCTATTGTGTGCTTACACAGTGAGTGAATTTTGTGTTGTGCTGTTTACCGTGATGCTTTTTAGTTTCCAATCAAATGTGTCATGCAGCCCGAAAAGTGCCCCGGTTTCCAAAGTTAGAATAAAACCAGCTTTGTTTTTGTCACTTTCAAGAAAATGCTTTATTAAACAGAATATATACAAGATGTGTGAAGGATATATATGGTCAACAGGGGGCGTAGAAGGACACCCTGTAAAAAAGGGACCGTTTTCCTGCGTGTGGGCTCAATTTTAACACCGGCGCACCGTTTTTGTAGCAGTCGTGCTTGATGTCAGTTATCCCGCCCCTCCGGACCGTTCCAGAGAAGCCCCACAAACATACAGGAAGTACTTAAATTTTAAAAGGATTGTTTCTTTAATTGCAGTTGCTGCGTTATCACATGTCCTCTGTAACGTAAAGTTCATTTTTCCGGAGCAACTAAATATTGATAAAATCGTATTAAACAACAACAACAACAAAAAAACGTCACTTTTTGTTAAACTGCCATACAAATTATTTCATCTATCGTTGCAGAAAAGCTAGCAAGGGTAAACCGTTGCTAAGCTAACATTAGCTTGTTAGTGCCACGTAAAAAGTAAGAAAAATGGATAACTTGGAAACACCGTACGATGAAGATGATGGTTTCATCGAATGCACGGTAAGTTGACCAGCATGGTTTAGCCGCTGAATGTAAAATGCGGAAGGAATCGCAAACAGCGTGGGCCATGCAGGGAGTAGCCAGGCAAGGCTAGCTGTAGCCCATTTACTACAATGTAAGGCTGGCGCTGTCTATCCACGTCTATGCAACATATTACTCTTGCTGCATAAAGTATGTTATAAAATGTATGTTAAACTAGAGGTACATCAATGATTAATGTAATGTATGCTTTTCTACGTTTGTTATTCCGTCAATATAGTGATACTTAGATCATGTAAACATGCAACACATGATCCAGCAGATGACTGAGGTATTACCGTTAGAATTTGCGTTTTATGACTCATTGATTAAATATCCTGGGTAACCAGATATATTTGGTTTATATCGAAAAGTGTAAATATATGCTGATTGGAGTAAATTGTTATCCTCACAAGACAGCAAATTGTAATTATGTTTTCATCATGTTGGTGGTAGATGGTATGATAATTACCCATCCAGTTTAAAATATTTTTGGATAAGCCTAATTTTTATTCAATTTAAGTGTTTATTTTCACATCCATTTAGAATTGATACATTTTTTTTATTTTTGTTGTTTTTTCACTTAGAACTCAATGTAAAAAAAAATCTACGTATAGCGTATTAGTTGTATGTTGATTTCCTGCATTTGGATGTTTGTGTGAGGAATAAGGAAAGCATTCGAATGAGTTTGGATTGAAAGGCAGCAAAAATCTCTGTAAAGTTTGCTCTGTAATGCCTTTCATACTCACGGACTTTTCTATTTAACCCAGGTCTGTGAAAAATCTCTTAGAGGTAACACCCTCTACAAGATACACCTGACCACACCGGGACATTTAAAGGTACAGTTTACTTGGGAAAGGTTTTGTAGTCATTGACATTTGCCGTGAATGTAGATAATTGTCAAACTACAACATTGTTTTTGTTGTTTCACAAAACTCCTTTTTTGTCCTTAAAAGAACAACAGTCTTGTTGTTCCTGCAGACTGGAGAGAAGGTACTGCTTTGTGTGAAAATAATTTAAAAACCCCCCAAAAACTCTTCAACATCAATATAAAATTTTGGTGTTTTATTATTGTTAATGGATTTTCTATGATCTGTTTTTTTTTTTCCTTATCTGGGTTGATTGATCTAAAAGATTTTGGTTTTGCCACAAGAACTTAGCGGGAAGACTGGATGGATTTCTGCTTGATCTGGAGAATCCTGTTGCCTTTAACTTTTAAAGCCCGCAACATTCAGGACGTCATTCAACAATGCAGAGGTCTGATAATGAGCCAATCATTTCATTCAAGCGTGTTGGATGGCAGATTCATCTAAAAGTTGCAGAATAATAGCCTTTCAGGACTGGACTTGGCTTCTTCTTTCTAGATTCACTGTGGTTCTTCCAAGACAAACAAAAAACGAAAAAAGTGGTTTTCATCTCTTGAGTCACTTTTACTTTCTAGATGATTGCAACTGGATATATTCCTTCTTCAGGAGCACATTGAAACACAGCAGAGTAAGACTTTTGTCTCAACAGTGCTTGCAGGTTTTTCTGTTCCAGGCTTGAATGTAATATTTGGATACATTTAGGTAAGACTGGCACTTTACACCTAAAATGTTTCTTCCAAGTGATTCAACAGGACTTAAAGAAGCACCAACCTAAAGAGGTAATTTGTGATGGCCTCTAACTTCAGATGAAATTAGATTCATCCTGTTTCTCAATATGGACTCCAGAAGAAAACCATGTGTTTCACTTGTCATTCGTCTGGCCGTCTCCTATTTGATGCCCCGGTTATTGGTTAATCTCAGACATCTTTTACACTGTAGTCCCCAGAAGAGAACAATCTCTCTTTATCAGTTTGTTGAACCCTGGTAAGTCCATGACTCTGGTGCTGCTGCCACAACCGATGAATGGAGAAGATGGTATAATCTCAACAACACACTTACAGAAGATATACAGCATCTTGTTCCAAACCTGGAAGGTCCGAAGCTTCCCCAAGAAGAAGAGTCTGCTCCGTTCGTTTTTGTAAACAGATTCATTGTTGCGTCTTCAGGTGAACGCGAAGGTATTTATATTCCTCAGCCACCTTCACTTCTTCCCCCACAATAGAAATAGTGTTTGACCTGACCCTGTTTCAAGGTCCATCTTATTGGCTATGACTAAGACTGTTGAGAAGCTGGTCTAAATGACATCAAAAGGATTTTTGGTTGTTATAATTTCTTTGGCTATATTTTTAGCAAGCTTCATTAATTTTTTCTTGGAAGCTTTTTTCTGACAGGTGATCACAATTTTCATGGTGGGTATTCAGCTAAGTGAGGATTATCAAACCACCCTTTGTCTTGTGGCAATATCAGTGACTTGTCAGCGTCTTCAGCTACACTTTTGGCTACAGCGGATGTCTTGCATTTCTCTTCTGCTGCTTTTTGAAGTTGTTTTGGAATTTGTGTGTTCCTCTTGCTCTATATAAATCTTATTACAGCTTCTCAGGAAATGGATTGGCTTTGGTATGGCAGATTCGATGTCTGATGGCTTCATACATCTCGTAAAAGAAAAGCCAACTACATTTCTTCAAAACAACACTTGCGTTTTTGACAGTGCCTGAAGAATGAAGGACATCTGCACATCTCTTACCCGAACATTTAATTTATAAGTATAGGGGTGGAAATCATCAACCCCAAAGATGATGGATCTTTAATCGGGCCAGTGAGTGTTGGGGAAAATGATCTTGAATCAACATGTTTTTTGTTTTATTTTTACTTTGAGCTGACACAGTGGAACCCTGTACCAAGTGCTCTTGCTTGACGGAGATATTTCACCAGGAATTAATTGATTCTACAACTACGCTGCTGCTGTTTGTATGACAGGAATCTTCACATCAGTTTCACATCAGTTGATATCAAAACCTGTGTGCAGGTTCTTCTATAATGAAGAAACATTTCTTCAACCTTCTTGTCCACAAACTTGTTTTGACCTGGGCATGTAGGGTGTACATGTTTCCACAGACTTGAATCTGCTGCAACCAATACTGGCCAGGTGAGTATAATTGGGCTCTGTATGACTGGGCAAGAGTACATGAGTCCTCCTCTGATAAGTTTGATTATGATTTTTTTAATGACTTAATTTCCTTTTTTTGTTGTTGTTGTTTTTTTTCTTTTTTTTTGAGAGAGAAGTTAAGAGTTGTGCTGTTTGTTCAGCATCAGTTCACCTAATATCTATTGTTCTCCTTTTATTCCTGGCAGAAAGAGGATGCCCTTGTTGCTGAGGGTAAGTAGGCCTAATCTTCAAACAAATATCTGAACTTTAAACCACATTGAATATAATTTTGAAGAAAGGGTGTCGAGTTTTAATTTAAGGACAGAATTTAGGCCTAAAGATGTCAGTAGCATTGCACAGCCAAACAAAACTTCTGCCTTATACACTGTGTGCACAATTATTAGGCAAGTTGTATTTTTAATTTTAAGAATTTTATGACAGAACAAATGCAGTACTAAAATGTACATTTTCAGACTACTTAACTCTCCTGCCTCACTTAGAAGAAGCGTGGCTGATGTCACAATCGGGAAGCGGGGAAGGTATCCCGTCAGACCATCAGTTCCCAAAACTGTGCCAACCCCCCCACTCCTCCACCCTTTTTTCTTTTTTTTAAGTTCATGCGGGGTCATTGTGACACCGCTGGACTGCACAGACGGTAAAAAATTTGTGGGACGGTTAAGAAAGTGGTGTTACAGCGTTCTTGGGACATATTTGTGTGTCCACAATTATTGGGCAAACACTGTGCAGCAACATCATGCATCTAAGTGAAACATTTCTCAAGAAAACATTTATGACAATAAAAAATGACTAACATAGCAACCCTTTTTAAATAACTGTCACAACCTTTCCATTCACAGAATCTGTTGGTTTCTTGATCTGCTGATGGTAAACCTTTGGTGCAGCGGCAACCACAGACTCTAAAGCCTCTTGTCCGTTGTCAAGTCTCACTCTAGCTGGGTCGGTTCTAGCAAAGTTGTGCGCGTCTCCGTCAGTGGTATATTCCTCACTATTACGGACACAGAGCGCGCAGGAGCTGTGGTCGACGCTAAAATGACGTCATTTCCAATGACTCAGCAGTGGATAACCTTGAATTTCTGGTTTTGATGGACTCGGCTTTTTGGACGTAGGTAATGCTGTCAAAAGATGTACACCAATATTCACACATGAACCTTACTGAGAGAAAAGGCATGTTGTGCACTCCACAGAAAAAAATCCAAACAAAGAATAATAGTCAAGTCATGACAAACTAGTGTTATGTTGTTGCGGTGTTTCACACCAGCTGGCATAAAACTGTAAGTAGTCCTGACAGAACGTGGAGCAGACCGTTGTTTGCGTCTTCATTGCATGCCTGTTCTAAGGAGAGATGTGCTGCTTGCAGGGTTGTGAGATCTTGCACGCAATACAGCGAGGGGTGGCCTGTACCACCCCTGAGGTGGTTATGAAAAACAGGGAGGACGCACGCAAGATCTGTAAGTGGAGATGGCTGGGGTGGACTGTGGAAGAATCGGTTTAAGAACGGGCTTAAAATGGTCGACTGTTTTCCTTCACCGAAAAGCTCGCGTCCAAGAAGGACCCACAGATTCTCAATAGGGTTTAGATCATGTCAAGAGCTCGCTTATGTTGTGATTTCTACTCGAAGGACTTAACTGGCTTGCCACATTCTTGAATGCATGTGATGAAGCTCTGTTTTCTCATAAAAATCATGCTTTTCCTGAAAGATGGAGACTTTCCTGCCCTATGGATGGAGGAATGTCTTCTAAAAACAATTTGTAGATTTTGGAATCAATTTAAGACTCCATTTTCAACCTGAGAAAGGTCAAAGTAGCTCATCTTTAATAACAGCTGTACAGGTGCTCTATTCCACCTTGCTTGTGTCTGGGTTGAAGCGAAGCTCTGCTCCAGTTACTGATCCAGCCATGGTCTCGTCCATAGGGACCGTCAAGGGTCAATCTGATCACATCAGCTCATAAAATCTGTGAAAAACACATATTTCTTCAGTGGTGGTCGGGTTTCAGCTTTTGTTACCTTGGCTTTGTATCTGTACTCCAGTTAGGTTACACATTTGGACTACGAAGACACAGAATCAGCTACCAGGGATTCTGGTATCTGATTATCCTAAACTCTTTGGCAGTTAATTTGTGTTTGCTTTCCTCTTTTTCTCAGTAAGTTTCTCACGACATCGTTGTAGCAGAATATTTTATCCCCCAAGCCTGTTTTGCAAATTGTTTTATAATTCAAAGTAAATTTTTTTGGCCCGTTTTCCCTGAAGAATAAAAGCTGCCCAATATTTAAGCACACTGTGATATACACAGTTTTCCTTAGGCCACATCTCCTCTTATTACAAAAGAGACGAACCTGTACACATGAAAAATTTTGCTCATTTGCCTAATACTTGCGCACACAATGTTTATTTCACTAGATTCACCAGAACTCATGGTAAGCAACCAAAACTGCAACTTTGCAGCAGATTCAATCAAGTCCTGCACTCAGTCTGCTTTCAAATCAACACTGATGCTACGAATCGGTTTTCAGTTGATTTTCAGCACCATAAAGCAACTTTTTATTTTTATTTATGAGGCACAAACCGGTTTCACAAGCCTCTTTCAAAAACACGAGCCACGTCTTTTCTTCTTCGGTCAGTTTGTCCTGAATGACCGAAGGTGATCTCATTCCAACAATATGATTAAACTTTTACAATGTGATGCATATTTCAGATGCAAGGCCCTAAATTAACCGTTCTTTGGCTTAGAGCCAAAGAACGGTTGCTTGTGAAGTAAAATCAATCAGATGCATCTCATTGAGAATATTTTGAACTGTATGATGGAAAATTGTAACCACTCATAAGTTTTTCTCGTTAATTTTCTAATCAACCTAATACTGTCACCACTAAAGACCAAGCTTACTAGAAGAAGGTGAATCACCTTAAAGTTAATTAGAGAAGACATATTTTCTAGTTGCAGAAATAGTTTGGCATGTTTCTGCAATTGTAAATTTTTTCTGGTATATTACTTAATTTTAAGTTTTAAAAATGTCAGTCTTATGATTGCAGTAACCACTGCAACTGATGTTTTTCTTTTACTTCAGTGACAGTTACCCCCACAGGACTTTCTTTCCTCCATCGACTTTCTGTCAAACGCTCCCTTTAGCATCTGTGCAAGTCCCCTAATTTGTTCCCTGTGTGTTAATACAGGCAACTTGATTTTTAATCTCAAAAAAGGAACCCCCCTCCCCCACTCGTTTCTCTCAAGAACCATATTTTCATGAAATATTTTGCATATTTTAAAGGTACTGTGGACTCAGAGCTTTGGTTTATGGACTGCATAGCGAGAGAGTGCACAACATTTTGCAATCCGGCCTCATCTGGTCATGAGGCACAAAGATAAGTGAGGAGCTTAAAGAAAAGGATGCAATATTAAACATTTATTTGTCAGTCAAAGCCTGAAATCGGATGGTGGTGTAAGGATTTTACGGTCGCACCTTTTAGGTGTGTTGGTTAAACACAGAAAATATAGCAACAGCTGATGGAACTTAAGCTGTAACGTCCCTGAAAATAAATGGACTCGCACTCTGTTGCTCTTCCGGGATTACACGACTAGATGGAAATTGGAAAATATTACTGCAGAGCAACTTGTCTGTTTTTTTGTCTACATTTACCTGAAGTAAGCCCTTGCAATAACAGCTCAGAGGGGAAAGTCTGTACTTCGTCTTTGTTGCTCATTCCTACATGGTCCTAGGCTCGAAGCCTGAACTACCGTATTTGACCTCTGGTGATGTGGAGAAGCAGATGGGAGATGAACAAGCTCCCTGCCGCATCTTCAAAGCTGAGCCCTGCCACCTCAAAGTCTGAGGTAACCAAAAGAATGAGCTGCCTTTTGGTGGATGGAGTAGGACATGGCTTTATAGAAATCCTCTGCATGACTTTAATGTGTCATGGTACAGAAAGGACTGGGCTGAAAGGTAAAGCTCTTGATTTATCAGTCCATCTACATTCTGACCTTTTCCTCTGGTCATGACATGGATCATCACCATAAGTACAAATCATTGGATACAAGTGACCTCAATGGTATTCTTCCACTAGGTGGAAGCTCAACCCTCTAAAAAAAATGCGTCCATTATCTGTCTTTTCATTTGCAACAAACTAAGAAACGGCTCCAGAAGGTGAGACATGACACCTGTGCACGTTTGCTAACCTGCACCAGGTCGAGGACAAATTCCAGCTACCCAATGGATCCGTTTAACCGAATGTTTGGTTAATCGGTAAGCATTTTAATCGATTAAAAAAAAAAAAATGCATCTGTTTCTAATACTCAAGTAATTAGCTGAATCCATCACCCAATGCAGGATTTATTGCGTGGTTTTCGGTTTAAAGGTTTTTGAAACCAAAGAATAAGACTAAAACAACATTCCCAACTCAACCTAAGTCAACATCATATGTCTCCAAACTAAAAAAAATTTAATTATACACTTCATACAAAAATACGCGTTAGCTGCGACAATGGTTTGTACATAGGTTAAAATGTGATGCTGTGCTCAGTTTTGAGCTGTAATTGAACAAAGCATTTGTACTACAAAACTGCTTCAGCTTCTGTGATTTCTTTGCCTAATTGTTTGTGTTCGGTTTCTCAGGGAAGGCTGTCAGAGAACATATCATGCCAAAGTTTAAGGACATTTCACATTACCTGGAGTACCTGAATCTCGATGAACCCATCATTGGTAAATACATTGGTACAAACATTGTCTGTTGTATTGCCTAAAAAAGATTAATAGGGTTTCTTTCTGCTTTTATCTCAGGTTTGAATTTTTTGGAAGAAGTGGCCAATTTTGAGCCACAGTTGGGTGCCAGATACACCTGCAAGTTATGCAGTCAAACATCCAACCTTGCAGAAATGGTCTGCCACGTGATTGGCCGTAAACACCGGCAAAAATATGTGGTAAAGCATCACCGCTGTATTCCAAAAACAACTTTGCTTTCATGATTTGTTTTGCTTTTTTTCCTGCACCCTAACAAATTGTTTGCATTTATAGGAGTTAAAACGGCCAGACTTGGTTACCTGGGACAGTGACACCATAAATACCCAAGGAGGGAAGATAATGCGAGCCAAAGCAGAGATAGTTGAAAGACAAAATGGACGAGGAATTCCAGAAGTTAGTCATTCACATATATCATTTTTTTCTTTTAAAATTATATTTCTTTTGTGACTTCTGTTCTCACATTTGTATTTCAGTCTTTGTTGAGAAAGGGAGTTGAAGGAAGACTCAACATCACAAGAGGTACTGTCAAATTAGCTGTTGTGAGAAATCCTTTATTGAATAATTTTGTCTACTAATCATGCACATTTAAAAAAAAATATGTAGCTCATGAAGTGATTTGAGTAATAGTGAATATAAAATTAAAATCTCCAGAACTTGATAGTTTGTATTATTCTAACACTTTATCTAAAACTTATTTGAACTTATTTATTTCAGGAGGTTTCTGAAATGCTGTAATAAATCTAGCTCACATCCTGCCGCTTTAATACGACACAATCAATTTTTGTTCCTCTTGAAGTTCCAGTGTGAGGTTTTTTTCCTGAACTTAGTCATTTTAATGAATAGTGATTTAATGATGTCCTATGTTGGGTTGCATTTTAAAGTGGATTCGTTTTTAGCATTCAGATTCTGCATTCGGTGTTTTCTAGAGATCATATGGTTATGGTTAGATTGTACCATGATCTCTCTGCTACTGTAGATCATTAACTTGTTTTATTCCCTACAGTCTAATATTATGCCACCCATCCAAGATATCAGTATACATATTTAACACAAAGTCTCTACAGATGTCAAGGGAATTTAAATATTGTTCTCTTTGATGATCAAATTTGCCAGTCCTAGTCATATTTGATTAAGCGATTTTCCATTTTTTTCCTCAAAAGTAATAAGGTGTGTTTTGTTTATATAGTTCCAAATTACAGGCAAAGATTGGTACCTGATGTCCCTCCCCTTTTACCTGAATTGCGGGAGTATCCCGAAAAGAAGGATTTTTCTGGGATCTATCCAGACCATCTCAGCCGTGGTCGCTTTGACGAGGGACAGAGAGGAGCGGATTATGTGGAAGGACCAAGTTACCGAGAGGCTTCAACGAACCTTGATTGCTACACCAGGCCACTGCTGGAATATGCCGATGATCCACTACAGTCAACAGACGTTTCCAGGTTCGATCACAGGCCGCCTGTGCCGCAGTCGCTGGATTATCTACCTGAGGCTTCTGCTCATAAAAGACCCTACCCAGAACGAGACCCTCTGGAGGAGTTCTACTCTGAGGAAATTCGCCGTGGTCAAGTTCGGTCTCAAGGATACCAGCCCTCTCCGAAGATGATGTATGGAGAAGATGAAAAGCTGCGAAGGTCTCTGGAGCGGGATCCTGGTAGACTCGACAATATGAGAAGACATGGGTCAAGTGAACCAGAGGCAAAGAGGAGAAACCTGTCTGCTCCTTTCGAAGGTGATCGCTCACGCGAGTCTTCGTTTGACATAGTTAAAAATTATCATGAAAGGAAAGACTCGTATCAAAAGGAGGCGCTTAAGAGGGGAAGACCCACTTCAGCTCAGGCACACGAAGAAGGTCCCATGTCTAACATACCAGAGCCGTTCAGGCGCTTCCTAAAAGGTAATAGAGCCGAGAAAGGTATGAGCAGGCGAAAAAGCCGCTTTTCTGATGCCACACCAGAAGAAGTAAAGATGGCAAAGGAGATGTGAGTGCAAAAGCTGAACAAATTTCTGTCCATGAAAGTCCCTGCATGACACTTGTTTCAATTTTTTTAGGGACAAATATTCTTATGTTTTTTTTAAATTCTGTTTTAAGGTACAGAGATGATTATGGACTTCCACACACTCAAACTGGTGCAGCTGTTCGACCAGTTGATGTACCAATGAGGCCGGACATCCACTACGGAGAACCGCAGGTAAGCTGATTTTTAAGGTATTGCAGATCTATATCTTTTTAGTTAAGGTCCAAGATTTACTGAAGTGAAACAATGTGACTCATGGTCTCATTTTGTCACTTTTCTTTTTAAGCCTAAACATCATGGAGCAGGGGAAGGCTACAGTAGAAGAGGCTTTGACGTGACGAGCATCTTTGACCTTCTGGTAAGATGACACCCCCCTACTACATCGACCTCTGTTCCATTTACTAACCTGGACGTAATCATAAAATTGGTGTTTGAGTTTTGCTTTTTTAAAATCTTTTCCTGTAGAAAAATGTTGAAATTGATAATGCGGAAGAGGCCAACTTCTTGAAGAGCAGAATTTCCAAACTTTTGGAAGAATTTAAGAGCAAAAAGATGGAGAAAGCTGGGGTATGTTTCCACCTTTATACCAAACACGGATCTGGTTGAAAGAATGAGATGTGTTATTCCTATTCATCATTTAAATTACAGAAAAAAAAAATCAACATTATTTCCGAACTTTGTTCACTATTTCATGTATCTATCTGTCCATTTGTTTTTTTTGTCCGTCTATCCATGTGTTTCTGTTCATCATCCATCCATCCGCTGTTTGTCTCTCCATCCTTTGATAATCCATTTTTCTGTTTGTCCATTTTTCAATCTGCCTTTGTGTTCATCAATAGATCCATTTGTACATCCACTCTTTGTTAGTTTAACCGTCCAGCCTTAGTTATCGCCTTAATTACTGTGTATTTTTGCCATCTTCATATTTATAGGCTGAACAGTGTAAAAATATTTGCTATAAATTCAGGGAGAACTTGGTTAAAAACTGGCTAAAAAATTACTGAGTTGTGGACAATATGTGGAAAAATTTTAAGTTGTACAGAAAATTGGAACTAACAGAGCATTTATTTCGTTACAACAGTTTAACCACGGTCGAGCTGAAGTCTCCAAAAATTACAGCGACCTAAACCCTAACCCACAGCTTCCTCATGTATACCAGTTTGATAGACCCACAAGAGAGGAGTCTGACCTCAGACGATCTGAAGAGCTCGGTTTCAACAATGGTAACAGACTTGATTGGGAGCAGCGTGGTCAGCCACCTGCGCAGCGGTTCCATGAATACAACCACGGGGAACCCAGACACTCCAGCAGAAGTCGCTTTGAAGGTATGTCATTGACACGAAACTTGATGCAGACCATGATTTAAAGAGATGCTTCAAGTAGAAGTAGGATTTATAAGAAGCACCACACATTTGCAGCTACCTGGCACAAGTTTAACCTGTTTTCAAGATCATTCTTAAAGGTGGAAAGTTTGACAGTTTGATTTAGAGCTTGAAAATGTGGCCATTTAATTGGTGACGTGGCCTTTATCCAGCTGCCAGATCAGAGACAGCAGTTTTATGAGCTGCAGCCATCTTCAGGTCATAAAACCACTAAACATGTTAAGTGAATCTGGAACTAAAGAAAATGTTGGAAAGATTAACATGCAGCCCTTTCCATAATATAAGTAATTATTAAGTAGCTATGAGGAAATGAAATAGTGAATGAATTTAAAAACTTGTTTTTCCACTTTGAATCAGCTTATTGTGGTGTTTGTAAGATCACAACATGATTGTTTTATGCTGCAAATGTGTAATTACCCTGTAATAATGTGTACAAACCACAGTTTTATCTATATTGTTATAAAAGTATAACAGAGACACTGATTGTGCACCCAGAGAATGAAAACCAAAATCTTGACAAAAAATAACTTAAATGTAAAGAATTTGAGAGTTTTGAAGATTAACTGAACTGTATCCCCAAAGCTGATCCTTTCTTCTTTTATCTGAGTTGATTTGATTAGGCTGCTGCTGATGTTCTCCAGGCCTTGATGATTGTGGAAAAAGAAAATGGAGTATGGCAAATGTGTTTTTCCAGACTTTGTTCCTTATCCTATTATGTAAATCTTGCATCCATTCATCCATCTGCTTGTCCACCCACCTCTTTGTCCATGAGTCTGTGACCTTCAATAAAGAAATCTGTAGTGAATTTATGGTGATCTTTTGGATTTGTACGTGGGACTGAGAACTTTGATCATATGAATTTAAGGAATGTTTACAATCATTTGTAACATTGAACAGGAGACCTGCTCTTAATATCTCAATTAATTTTTTCCAGGCTGATATGAAGTCCATCTGACAAGACAGATATTTTGATTTGTGAAATTTTTTAATGACTACTTTCCACCGGTGACCCAAGAATATTTAGGCTATGTTGTTAATGATAGTAACAATCTACATTTTGTCTTGTCTAGATAACCAGCCTCAATATCCTGAGTCCATGCGTTCTCATGAGTACAAAGCTCCTTCTGAGAACTATTTTAACCCTCACTCCTCTGCACCTCCGCTCCAAATGGAACAAGACAGCAGGATGCATCGTGATCCTCGCTACTCTTCAAATATGGATAAAATCACATGTGCCCTCATGGATCTTGTCGCAAGAAAATAGCCTAAAATGTTTGAAGACAATACTAAAAAGTAAAATCTGATTTGTTTTTTTTGTGTGTGTGTGTGAGCTTTAGATAGCAAAGTTTCGTTCTTGAAATGTTAGAATCTGTTCTTTCTGTGTAAGCAATAAAGAGTTTATTTGTTACTGTACTTATTTTTTCTTTCATTTACATGAGAAAATGTAATGACTGAATTACCGTTATCCATTTAATGTTTAGTGCAAGTTTTAATTGGTTTAAAACTCAGTATTCAGATTTTACGTTGAGATCAACCACGTCTCATTTTTGTGTGGATTTGCAAAGGACTTTTGTTTTTTATTCCACATCTATGAAGCAATTCCATGTGTAGGTTGAAATAATTTTACATAATTTTTCAATAAAATATTTTTTTTTCTTTTATTGTTTTTTTTTTTTTGCAACTGCAAGTCATCTGTCAGCGTCGGTTTACGATAGAACAGTTTCTTTTGTCTGGAAATTAGATGTACCAGCAGCAAACCGACAGTCAAAGCATGTAGATTTACATAAATATGGAAAACAGAACTAAAAAAAACAAACTTTACAGAAAGGGCAAATTCACAATAGAAATGAATCTTGTGAAATTTATAAAAAACGGCCTACTCCAGTCCAAAGAAATGTAAAACTGGGTCGGATAATTTAAAAGAAATGGCTTTTTTTTCTTTTTTTTTACATTTGTGTTCTGTTTTATCACCGCAATAAATAGAATTTAGTGAGTACTCTTATCAAAAACAAAAATTATTTTATATCTCAATATTATTTTTTCTTATAGAACCACCTTGAAGAAGTAAGAATTAAAAGCAAAGTTACAATTTTTGGAGGCGTTATAGACTATGCGAACAACCCCGTATTGAACTCCCCCGGTCTTTCTGTACGTAGCTCCGACGTCATCGCGTAAATGTCTTTCCGGTTAGAGTCAGCAGCCATCTTGTTTCCCTTTGCTAGCTAAATAAAATAAATAATACGCCGAGCCGGACTTCACTTCGAACGAACCCGTAAAAGAAAGTGAGTAAGAACCTGAAATAAATTAACGTGTGTCGTGTTATCACGAAAGCTGTCTGTGATGTACGAAAGTGGGGGCAATTACTTGGCTTAATTTCATTTGCTGTTCTTGACCAATAGACGATTGTTTTGGAAGATGAACACAGGCGCCATTTCCCTCCCCGCTCTCTGAGGCGCTTATTGGTGGCCCGCTCAAAGGATCACGGGCGGTCACGAAACTGATGTTCTGCGTGCGCCATTTTGGTTCCCACAACGGGGCTTAATGAACGCAGTGGCCAGCTCGAGGAGAGCTCGAATGGCGTCAGTTGCAGAACGAACTTAGCATTAAAAACCTTGATTGGTGGAATCTAGTCCGAGGTTTGATTGGTCTGAAGGACAGATCCAAACGTTGTCTTTATTGGTTAGGCTGTTTCTTCCAAGCCTTGCAAACTTTCATATGGTGGCAGGACTCGCTCGTAATTAGTGACTATAATCGCACAGTCGGCGAATAGATATTTGTGCTGCACAACCAACCAGTGAACATCTCCAGCAAGCTAGCGTAAACTTCAGCAATGTTTTGTACAATACCACCGAAACTTGACCACCCGAGGTTAACCACTAGCGGAAAATGTACACTGTAGTGGTTGGTGTTTAGCGTTTACGTTGGCCAAGTTAAACATCGCACTTGGATGTGATGTTTGTGGAATCAAACTGCGAGTGCAGAGAACACGGTGCTTGCTGCTCCCGTGTGCTGATTGAGCATTGTTCACAGTGTCATTGATGCTAAAAATGTACACAGCATTCAGATAATGTATCAAATTACAGCGATAACTTCAGTGTGCTAATACAATAGGGCTCGTTTTCTTCTTTTGGCCATCTTAAGTAGCATTTATTTTGTAAAACTTATTTCTTAATTGATACAAAACACACACAAAAAATTGAACGTTTCATATTAATGTGCCAAGTCAACAACCTTGTTTCTTCTTTTACCTCATAATACATTGTTGCAGTTGGAGGGACAATGCAATAGTGTAAACTAGGATACAATGTTACATGAACAATGTCTTTATACAGTAAATATTTCTAAAACCCAACAGTGAACATATTCAACCTTCAGGATATAACAGAGTTGAAGTGCTAGAACAAAAAACTGAAATCAGATTGTCAAAAAAAATGTGTTGTGTGTGTGATATTTTCTGGCTATTTTTCCCTGAACAAACTTTTTCACTGCGGTTTTATGTAGCACTTTTATCCTGAATGTTGTGGATTTGATGAAAGTGACGCCTGTTTCGGGATTGCTGTGAATGTTCCCTGTAGATCTAAAGAACTTGAGTTTCTATAGCTTCCATTGACATTATTCAGGAAACCTTCTTCAGTCCTGCAGATTTTCCCACAACTTATCTTACCTAGGAGCTGGTTTCCTATTTCTATTGTGCTTGTGAAGGAGTTCATACCCTTTGCACAACAAATGTCAGTGTATTTACTTGGGGTTTTATGTACTAGACTCTAGAGAAAGACAGACTTCTACATTGTTAAGCTGAGCCTGTAAAAATGGAAGGAAAATAAAATGTATTTCCATTCCTTTTTTTCTTCAAATAACGATTATGAACGGTGGCACCCATGCATAATCATCCCCCCACCGCCTCCGAATCAATGCTTTGTAAAACTACCTTTTGTTGCCTTTACAGCTGCAAGTCTTGTGGGGTGTGTCGACATACCTGTCTGCAGCCTCTAGCGTGTTTTCTTTCAGGTTTTCTTTGAATTTAGTTTCATGCATCCTCACATCATCTCTGATTACCTTCTCTGTCCCTCTTGAGGAGACGCATCCCCACTTTCCCCACAGCATTGTGCAGCCTCCACTGTGTTTCTTAATAGGGATGGGGTATTCAGGGTGTTAGTAGTTTGTTTTGACCAGAGCGCCTTCTACCAGATGCTAGCAGTGTCAAAGTGCAAAGGTAATTTTTTAATGCTATTTTTTCCAAAAATGGCTTTCTTCCTGCCATTTGTCCATAAAAGCCAGATTTGTGGACTGGATGATAAATAGCTGCTGTTGTGTTATCCCACAATATTTGAATGTACTATCTATTGCTCACACTGGGAATATTCCTTTAGTAGAGGAGATGGTAGTGATCACAGAGTAGGAGGGACAGTGTTTAATAGCAAATAAAGAGTCATCTGAAGACATTGTTATCCTATTTTTCATCAATTTGATCACATTTAAATATTTTCCTCTAATTGTGTCACCATAGAAAGTACTTGAGCTTGTGCTAAGTTTAAACTGCATATTGTGAGAGTATATTTTGTCATTAGGAGACTTCTGAAAACAATTTGTGGCACTGAATTTTGTTGAAATTCAGTGCCACATACAATATACAAATGCACTCTAAATTGAACACTTTTCATTTGCAAAAAAGTTTTGAATACCATGACTCATTTTTCTTTCACATAACATTTCTGTGCTACGTTGTGTTGATCTGTCGCCTAAAATCATGAAAGGTTGTAATTTGGCAAAATGATTATGTGTGCAATCCACTGTATATTTAATTAAAACACTCACTTTACATTTAAAATGACAGGATGTATATGTCTTGATGTGAATAACCTTTGAGCAAATCCTCCTGCTAAACATTTGTCTCTGCAGGTGGTTCTGTGTTTGTACGTTTGTGGTGAACGCATGACTTACCTCGGCACCCTGAGGGTTCTGCGTGTTTATGAAACCCAACGTCTGGCTGGCACATGTTTATCTCTAAACAGAGTCAATGAAAGCAAACACGGCCAGGCTACGGGCAGAATGGGTCATGGGAAGGTTTCGTTGGTATGGTGACCTTGTTAGGTGTCATTACTGAGGCCTTGTGGGTAGCCCAGCGCTCGGCTAAGCGGAAAAGCGCTGTAGCATGTCGTCCACGGTTGGGAGAGATTGATCTTTATGCAGCTCCGATGCAATCATTAACCTGATGCCTGCAGTACCTGTTCCAGTCCCCGTGTTCCCTGCAAAATTAGAAAAGGGAACATTTAGCTTTGTGTCTCTTGAGTTTCTATCTTGTTCCCTCTCCCTCCCTCCACTTGTTCTACCCCTCCCGTCCCATAACAGTTCTCCTCTCTGTCCTTCTCCATCCTTCCGGTTCCCCTCCCCCCCAGGCTGTTGATGGGACAGGTTAGCTTTATTTTTCTCTATCCTCACCTTTCTGTGCTTCACATTTCTGTCTAGATTTGCAGTGACATGTAGCTGCTTCCCAAAACTTTACTGTCTGACATGTCTCTCTCTCTCTCTTAAGTTTACATATGACTTATCTCATTGGTGGTTTCAAAATTTATTACCAATTGTGCACATGAGCAGGTATACCCTGCTTTGGTACATCAAAGTTAAGTCCTCTCCATAGAAAGTTTGCACATCAAAGCAGTGATTGTTTAGAAAAAAGGGCATTGTGGGTTACATTGCTGATGTGGCTTTTCTGATGACGTTTTAATTGTGGAAGTTGCCGTGGGCAAAGGTTTTTGGGGTCAAAACAATAATGTGTTTGTTTACAGGGTTTCACCCATATCTTTTGAGTCTTGTTTAACCACAAATAGAACGAGAATCATATTCTGTCTTATCCCCTCCATCTCCCACAACTGCTGTCCAGTCAGCTGATTTATCTCCAGGACTTTTTGTGCAAAGCTCCGTAAGTGATCGGTTTTAGAGAATTTTTTTTCCCTTCCTTTTGATAAAATTACTGGATGAGTCTTCATTCATGTAGACAAATACTCTTTTATATATTATCATCAGTGCATGTCATTACAACAAATAGGCTGGTTTTAGGGTGAACGGTTGCAGTATGTACCTGCGCCTCTGAGCAAGGATAAATGAGGAGGCAAGGACAAAATGTGCATTTGTGTGGCTGTGCATGTGAGCCTGTGTACACGCATGAGACGGGGAGGCTGGTTTAGTATGCTTTTGTACTTTAAATCATGTGGATGCAACACGCGGCATCAGTTCTGGCATTTCCCTCGGCCAATGAGGGGCGAGCTCGGCCGCCTGCATCACCGACGTGCCGACCTGTAACGTCGGACCGGAGGCGGGGCCGACGGAGACATTTAGTTTGACATTGTAAATAAGCAGAAAGCAGTTGTCAGAGAGCAGCCCGTGAAGCCTTTCTCATCCGACCAGCGGCTGGAGGGACGGAGACCGCCAGGAAAAAGACGATGCCAAGGCAAGCGGCCACGACACACACCCTCACACACTCCCCGAGGAGTTTCCCGCAACTTTATATGCTGTTTTCTACTGTCGCTCAGCTGCACTCTCTCTTCCTCTTTTCTTTTCCCTGACCCCTATCCTGCAGCTCAAGGTAACTTAGAGCAGGAAGTTGGCTGTCAGTGAAAGGGGGTTGGGTAGAGAATAGCAGTGGAGCGGTGCGGGGGAGGGGGGGGGGGGCGACGTGTCACAGCTGATGGGTGCATGCACCGACCAATGGCGTGTGAGCATCCGGCCCTCCCATTGGCCGGTTTCACCAGAGTGAGGTGGGAGCAGCGTTGGGGGCGGGGCTTGAGTGTCATGCAGCATGCTAGATTGATTACGCTTGAATGTTAAAGGGGAAGGAGGCTGGAGATTTTTTTTGCCTGTGTGTCAGAAGTGCCGCTCTACTGTTTGCGTGCCGCCGCGCCGCTTTTCTGTTTTCTTTTCGTCCTTTTTCTGAACCGAGCCGGTGGGGTCAGCTCAAAGACAAACTCACGGGTCACTGACCAAACTGAGGGAGAAAGGTTAAAAAGAACAAAGACAGAGGAAGGCGGGGGGAGGAGATGGTCAGCAAGTTGAGGAGACTTGGTAAGAAGAGAATTAGAGATTTTTAGAAGGACCTTGGGGACCGCTGAAGGAGACGGAGCAATGTGTAAAAGCAAAGGGGGAGGGGGAGGAGACACAGAGGGGGTTCTTGCTCCTTACTCTGTGTCCGGGTTTAGAGCTTTTCAGAGCTGTCCCGTGGAGCCAGAGTGCCTTTTGTCTGCTGATACGATCAGGGAGCTGCAGGAAGTGGAGGAGCATGAGAGAGTTTTTCTGTCAGCCTCGGCACTCGGTGCTGCTCCCCTCAAGGAGACTTGAGCTGGGCTATCTGTTTCCATCTCTTCTGCTGCACTCCAACAGGCCAGGCTGTTCACCATGAAGGGCACAGGGGTAAGTCCTAGTCTTACAGGCTAACATGCTTACAGAGAGAGATGCGTCAGCTAAAGTTGCTTTAAGTTTCTCAGTGAATTCTTTATCTGAAGTGACTTCAGTCTGTCTCCATCACTCTGCAGGGAAGAGAGTGAGTCTGTCCTTTACAGCTGTCCTCAGCCCCCCCCTCCCTCTCCTGATTTCCTAGATTAGTATTATGGTTCTCATCCATGCCCTTCACCTGTCACTTTGCTGCACCACTGATGGTTTCACTAAATTATGTCAGGTTGGAGTAATTTAAATCATTTTAATAAGTGAAATGTTGTCATCTTTGCGCGTCACAAGCTTTGACTTTGGGCCGCTGTGTACACAAAAATGCACTCTGTGTCCTGATATTGACTGAATGGAAGAGTTGCTGCTGCCAAAATCGGACTTGGTGTTCAGATGGACTTCTCTGTCTCATTGGCGCTGATATTGAGGGTGCCTCCTAAAGTGCTGCTTTGCTTTCGCACTCTGACCTTCTTGTTAACTTATTGCCAGACTGTGCTGCTGCAAGGAAGGCATCTCCAAGGAGAGGAGGTTTGCTTTAAGTTAGTTGAATCCAACTACAAATTGGGGAATTTCATGATTATTTTCAATTTATGTGTCACATTTCCCTCATCTCTTATCTTGTGTCAGATTTTGTTTTTATCAAACTAAAAAAAATAGGGCATTGGATCATGCTGTTGCTTTTGTTTAATATTTGGGAGAAACTCAGATTTTTCAGAACATTCTCAGATTCTGATCTTTTGCCAATTGATTGGCAAAACGCTACTTTAACTGGACACCTCTCAGTGTTGCTACATTGTGAGAGGTCTCCAGGGGTGGAGGTGCAGCTGGTCACAGTGACCTCAGGACCCCCCGGGCCCCCCTCCCCAACAGTGCCAGACACACAGATGGGACAGACTGTCAGCTTGTCAGCTTCAGGGGTGAAGCAGGCTAATAGTTTGATCTGATCTTTTCTGATGGAGTCTTCGGAGGATGCGTCTTCTCTCACTCGCCTCCGACTCTTTCTTGCCTCCTCTCGTGCTCTCGGATTCAAAGTTCCCCATTGGTGCCTTTGACAAAACAGAGTCTAAAAATAACTCTTAAGTTGGAGCCCTTGTTGCCAAATCCCAGGGTTGGCTGCTGTCTGAATAAGATTTGAATATTGTTTGTAGCCGTACACTAAACTACAGGCCTACAGAGTGTAGAAAAACCCAAACCAACCTTGTTAATGAAGCGTTAAGATGGCCACGGCCGCTGCAACCTCACAGCACTCTTTTGCCCTTGCCCTGTCCATGTGTACACCATCACTAAAGACGGTGTGTGGGTTTGTTGCATGCAGGTACATTAAGCCCTGCCTTCTTCGATGCCAGAGACCAGGCCTCGCGATTGGATGAAGGTCACTGGAATGTGAGACGGACTCCTGCGGTATCTCTGTCTGCAAGTGAGCGGTAGACATGTGGAGACAGATGAGAAGAAGTGAAATTCACAGGGAAACGCCAAACGCAGCTAATGCGCGCGGTATGCTATGGTTTCATTAAGCTTCTTAGAAAGTGGAAAGCCTGAACTGCTGGGGTCACTAAGCTACTGCAGCGAAAGTTGGAAAAACCTGTCCTTTTTTCCACCCCCACCCACCTTCTCCATTTCGTCTCCCTTTTCTCCCTCCTCCCTCTCTGGTTTCTCTCGCTCCTCTGGTGAATGACCTTGGGAGATCACTGACTAGCACTTCCTGGAGTTCGCACGAAGCAGAACCAAGGGCAAAGTTTGCTGGGCCGTTTGGTCAGCTAGTTTGATCAGAAGAGGTCGAATGGATCAGGTTGATGGACACTGAACATGTTCATCATTAATACCCTAACTCTTCTTTTTTTTCTTTTTCTTTTTTTTTGTAATCAACAAACATTTGCACTAGTATATGAGTCGTTAATATGTAATTCCTGGCTGGAAACTTCTTGTTTTTGTTTTTTCTGACCAGGTAGATAATTTACCCTGCAGGTTGTACCCATGCCAGTTTTCTGGTTTTTCGCTGGGGGTGAGAGGGTGCATAAGTGGAAGTGCTTTGATAATTCATAGTTTGCATGCTCAACTCTCCTTTATTCAGGGCTATGCTTCAAAATAAATGTCAACTTGACACTCGATATTTATACTGTGCTTCATTCATCAGAGTAAAGCTGTCTTATAAAACGTTAGGTTGTTTCTCAGCTAAACTATGAGATAAAACACAGTTGCATTTGTTTCTGTTTAGCAAGTTAGTTGGTTAAAGCTACATTTTTTTTTGTAAACCTGCTTGTTTTCATCAGTTTGTTAGGATTTAACTTCTTGCTCAAGACGTGCCAGTGGAGCTGTAATCCCACTGAGGCGGCGTCACATTAGAGAGAAAATGTCTTTCAAGGGATTTAATGATTTACAGTAAAATGGGCAGCACTCTGTTATTGTGGCAGCTTTATATATACTCTTTGATTACTTGTGTTTGATCACCTTACTTTCCAAGAAGAGAAACCGTCCAGAGCTTCAGTAAGTTTTACTTTGAGAGATTCTAAACGTATTAGAGATGCACCAATCAGATGGAGAACGTGGTTTTTCCTTGACCAGCCAGACTGGTCAAAACCTAAAAAGTACCAAAAGACTTTGGTCTATGAATGCATCATCCAAATTATTTAGAATTTAGCAATTTATAACAGGTAGGAGTTTAGATATGTTTTACTGCAAAAATGTGAATTGTTTTGTAATTGCTTTATTTTATAACCTACATTTTTTTTATTGTGTATTAGTCTTTGGGAAACAAATAATCTGAATCAATCAAAATTAGAATGAACAAGTTGCAATAAAGAAAATGGAAAGCTGGTGCTACATATTATACTTTTTAAAAGGAAGACCTCTGCTTGTCAGTGTCTGGTGTTTTATGGTGTTAAAATGATCAGATATTTCTCACGTTCTAACGTAATTTAATTCTAACTCTAGAGCTTCAGAATCACAGACTGCAGATTTATCATTGCATATGAAGTAAAGACTAAGTCTATATAGAGGCCGTGACTTTCTTTAAATCTGTCTTTCAGTGCTGCAAGAAGTTAAATGCAGAATTTCCTATGTCACAGAAAATATACCGACAATTTATCTGCTTCAAAATGATGAATTGTAGCAGAACTTCATGTTTTCTCTGCACAACCAATGAGGTTTATTAGACAGGGCTTAAAGTTTCTTTTAAAACATTGACATGTCAGTTTTGAAGTGAGTCGACAACTTTCCCATGAGCGGCCACTTAAAGGGAAGTTCCTGAAAGCGAGAGTAAAGAGAGAGATGAGGTTGAGGTGGAAAGAGGAGGGATGCAGGTACTGGGCCTGGAAGACCAACGTTAGCGCTGATTCAGCTGCTGCAAGCAGAGCAGCATCGACTTTCTCTGAGAGGATGGAGGAGGGCGATCAGGTGAAAGAAAATAAGACGGAGGAAGCGAGGAACACTTAGCTGCGGGTCGAGGCGTGCCAGAGAAGAAATGGGAGTAGAGATCTGGAAGACACAAGGGAGGAAGATCAAGTTGCTGTGTTGGACAAAGTTTGTAACGGGACGAACGTTTTGCACTCAAAAACTCAGACCCGGGGCTTTGCTTTTCAGAAAACCAAACAGTCATTTTTCTCTCCCTGTAACCTGCAGAAGGACAACAGCATTGCAGGGAAGAGTTCAGCATTTTCTGTCCTAATATAGCATATGGCAGCGGCCTAGAACAAAGTAGTGCAGATCAGTGTGTCTGTACCGTCCCGGTACAGAGGAATAATGGCGGCGCATCTGGAGGGAGAAGTTTAAAATAAGTTAAATGTCCTGAAAGATTTCTCTAAGGGTGATTTCCATTAGCAATACAAGGGATGAGTGACCATGATTAATAAGCTTTGTCATTTCTATAATTACAAACTTCCATCCAAGTAACAGTAGAGTCATCAATCAGTCGACGAAAGATTGCTTTATAGACTCTACAATGTGAATGGCAGATCAGATACTGAAATTAAAACAGCTTTTCTCTTGATTCATTAAAAAGCTCTTGTAAACTTGTAATTGTGATCCTATGGCTAAACATTGCATCAATTATATCAGTTACCATTAACTGATAAGTCTAACGTTTTTTGAATGTTAGTCATCAGTATGTTTTGTTCTTGTACTTCATCATCCTCAGCATTTTGAAAATGCTCATGGGAAAAACACACAGGGGGCAGGAATTGAACCCAGGACAGTTGTGTCAAGAACTATGGCCTCCATATATGGTGCGCCTGCACCACCACTGAGCCACAAAACCCCAATACGCATTTTCACTTTAATGTGTTTAGAGTTCTTAAAAAAATAGAACCACTGCCTCAGACGTTCAAGAAACCGGAAATCTGTATGTGTCAGAAAAATTTAGATTGATTCATCTGTACTTTGAAAAAAAAACAACTTAAATTTAAAGTGCTAATTGCTGAAAAGAAAATTATATGTTCTTTTCCTGCAACTGTTTGACCAACCTATTTGCATCAACTGATGTATGACGCGCTGGCTCCCACGTAAAATTTCCATTGATGCAAGACATTCGAAAATCATGTCGGTAATCTTTTACTGCAGGACGAATCCACTAACTAGAAAAGCTAAATGCTAAAAGGGCATGTTGATACTTTGCTCTGCTCCTCTTTCTCTCACATTTTAGCCTGCCTCTCATCTTCTCGCATGTTGACTTGACTTCGCCCCCCTGCCGCTGTGGTTAGTGTGTGGTTGTTTATTTACATTGAAGGTTATACAGTCAGAAAAAGGTTGGGGGAGGGCGCTTCTGGGTGCTTTTTAGTTCTTGTTCTCCTCTTGAAGTTTTTAAAAGAGAACTTTAGAAGATCTGCAGATTAAAGAGGACAGAAAAGCAAACTGGGAAGACGTGCGTTTAGTGGCGCGATGTTATCCTGGTTGACAGCCCGATGGTCGTCTTTAGCGTTAGACAAATAGTCTAATTATTGTTCCTTATCAGGCTACCAGCTGGAGAAAGCCACACAAGCTGTCAGACTGTACATGTGTGGAAACACAAGAATGTGTTGTTTACCATTATCACCATATCGAGTGCTGCTACAGGCGACGCAAAGAACCTTTGGAGGTCAGCCCGTTCACCTGTTGTGGTCATGATCGCAAAATAAAACTACAATTCCCATTAGTCATCCTTGTCCCGTGGAATGCTGGGATTGTTCTGGAGACTGCGGGTCTTCAATCAACCTTGAAATGCAACTGGACACTAGAGCGTCAGCGAGCGAAGGGGAGACATTGTCAAGGTCAATCACTAGCCTGGCTTGCATAGCTTCAAGCGGCCCGATTGATTTATATAAACCCTCCCCCTCCTCACCCGCCTTTCTGTCGTATTGATTTAGGCTACTGTCTGTTGAAAAACTGAATGACAGCGCAGGATGCAGCAGTGCTTCTTCTGTATTATTCAGTAACCTGTACAACTGCTAGAGACTCATCTCTCCTGTCAGAAATCAACCAGCTGAAGGGTGCACGTTTTCAATCAGTGACATATTAGTGTAAAATATTTACAGCTGCTCTTAGGTAAGCATGTAGAAAGAAGCTGATGCAGAATTAGGGTCACTGAGTGTTTGAAAGGGTGGATTTTGTATCGTATCCTGTTTGCTGGACCAGGAATAGAGTCTCATGTTTGTTGACCAGCAATAAAAAGGTAGCGAGGCTATGTTGAGCCAAATTTAGTAAGAACATTGAGACTGTTGTGCTTTTACTCGCAAAGAGCATATTGCAAGTTAATTTTGAATATGTTGAGGTGCAGTGTATTGTGCAGGGCTGAAGTAAGTTGTAATCTGTATTAGTAGATATATTAATTTCCTTAAATAACTACATTTTTTTAATAGTTTGGCAACTAATTAGTCAAAGCATTCAGCGAAATGTTAACTTGGCAAAACAAGATTTTTTGCGACGTCTTAAAAAGTCTTCTCAATGTAATCATCACATTTTGCCTGAGTATCAGCCTCTCAAATACATCCAAATTTTGACGAGTTTGTATCACATTTTATAAGGTGAGATTTCAGATTTGTAAGTTTATTCATTCATTTCTTTCTCCATATTTTTTTGCCCATAGAATAAATTATTTCCTGCTGAAACTGGTGTTCTGTATGCTAAGTCAAGTACTTGTTACATAATCCTCTACTTGTTCATGAGAACGTTTACATTAGACAGGTTTTGACTTGATAATGGGAGCTTCGGGGGTAAAACCCACTATCAGTCTTGTTGCATGAGGGCATTGATGTTGCTTAATCAGGGTGCAAAAGTACAAGACTTCTGAAAATCGTCAGCTTTAGTTGACAGTTATAATTAACTATTAATTTACCTAGTACAGCTATTGATGTAATTTATGTCTTTGATTCAACATTTAAGTTACTTCCAAAAACTGTAAGCTAACCTCTGAAGCATTTGGAGCCAACAGACAGCGCTCATGTTTCTTTTTGCAAGAAGCAAGAATAAAAAATGTCTTCAAACGCCAAAATGCTCTTGTGTTTAAGACTTGTTGATCTTTGATGGTTTAAATATGTGTGTTTTACCTGACCTCCATCTGCATACATCTGTCTGACAAATAACCCAAGATTAATACAATTTTAAAATGGTAAATATCATAGTAATGGTAGTAAATATCAATCTATCTGTTTTGGTAGATTGCTGATATGTTGTAATCCTTCAAGATCTAATATTGTTATATCCCCCATGCCTAGTGCAGGCTTTCCTTTGTTGCGTCACGTCCCCCCTGTTTGTCTCTCCCTGTTTGTCCCGCTTTCTGTCTCGTTTGACCCACAATGCTTGCTTGCGCAGCATTTCGTCTATGGCCCTGTCCGTCTCTCACCCCCTTAGTTAAAGCTGCTGGCACTTTGTCTTTAATGCTGGATTAATACTGAACTTGACAAGATGCCTTTTCTCCCTTATAGACTCTAAGACACCTCTCAATACCTCCATAATCGTCTCTTCATTTCCCTGATTTCTCCCCCCTGAGCCGAGTCTTTTCATAAAGTTAAAGAAAAAAGGGAGAGTGTCTCTGATCAACGCACGCTAAGCTCTACAAGCTCAGACAGGCACGCCAGTATTCCCAAACCAGATTCCTGGCATGCCATAGTAACCTGCTGGATCCTCTTTCAAACTGGCCGACCCCTTTTCAAGACTTTCTTTATGCAAGAGGCTGAATCATGAATTTCTCCTCTCTGGATTTGTTTAAATTGCTCCTTTTTGTCACGAAGAGGTTTTTCTATCCCCCAAACGCTCTTACATCAGAGGTTTAGCGTCATCCCTGCTGCTGAGGTCACAAGCTGCATTTAATTGCACATGAAATGTTCGTGTTTGTTGAGGAGCTTCAGTTGAGTGGCGAAGTTGAAAGAGCCATTGACAGTCCGGGAGCACGTAGCTGCTTTGCTTGTGTTTTTTTTTTTTGTTTTGTTTTTCTTCTTTATCATTTATTATGTCACCATCTTAAAACCACAAGAATAGAAGCCTGTTGCGGCTCTCTTTTCATTTCAATATGTTGTAATTGCAGGTTGTGATAAGATATGATGTGTTGACAAAGTCTGATAGGTCTTGGCAGCTCAAGACTGGTTTGGACTGACATGTCTTCTGTCCTTTGTCACTATTTGTTTTTCCTCATATAGTCAGCGTTTCTTTTCCTCACTGGTGAGTTGCTCAAATCAGTCTCATCTTCCCTCTACGCAGAAAATTAGAAGATGTCGGTAGATGCGTTCGGAGCTGGACCCTGCGATGCCCAGCAGACCCTGCAGTCCTTTTGGCCTCGAGTCATGGAGGAGATCAGGAACTTGACCATAGTACGTTGAAGCTGCTTACAGACTTACACATCTTATGTGATCAACTGTTTCTGAAATTTGTAGTAACCAAGTAACTATTGGGGGGTTTTTTCCAGAAGGATTTTCGTGTGCAGGAGCTTCCCCTGGCTCGAATCAAGAAAATCATGAAGCTGGATGAGGATGTCAAGGTAACAAGAGAAGCTAAGTGATGAACTGTTTGGAGGAAATAACTATAATTTGCAGGAGTTTGTTACAGTTACTGGACTTTGAAGGGATTTAGTGAAATTATAATATATGTTGTGTAAATGCTACTATAACCCTTTTGAAAACATAGAATTAAGAACCTAAGTAAAGTTTATTTATGTAGCACTTTTCACAGATGGAGACAAAAAGCTTTGCAGCAACACAAAGAATAAAGACGACGTATAGCTGAATAAAAATATAAAATACAGAATGAGCATCTTTTAATTTAGCATGTTGCGAGACACACTAAGTACATTCATTAATTTGAGCCACCAATTCATTAAATGTGAAATATCTTGTCTATTTTATTTATATGACCTGCCAAACCTTCCAGCTTTGACACTTTTTGCCGTTAGGACAGATTCTTCATAAGCTTAAAAAGTATGTTGGATTATAACAGATTGATTGCAGTTTTAATGAGATCAAATGTGATACTAAATCATCTTTAGGGTTAACCAGTATATTCAAAACTATAGAAGAACTGGACCAAACAACCCTCAGGGGTCTCTATGGGTGTGCATGTTAACCACAGAAGAACAAATATTAAAGGACACTTTCTCTGCTTGCATTGCTACCACAGATGGAAACCCTGAAGTGACTTGGCAGATTTCCCTCAGATGCATAGTAGTAACCAAGATACAACTATGCACCAGTTATTGTTAATTTCAATATACAAAGAAGGAATCCTCATAAATTCAAGAAAGTTATGGACAACCCTGGCCATCTTCTGCATAAGACTGTCAATAATTGAAAACAGAGTATCTTAGGTCAGAGGCTTCTTCAGATTTGCTGTAATACAGGCTGCTACAAGAGATCATTCCTGCCAACAGCTATCGCCATCTTCAATAACTCTTTGAAGAATCTGAATCAATGAGCTAAAACATCATTTAATTTCCCTTTGGGATTAATAATTGAATTGAATTTTAATCAATCTGCCAGAAATAAAAATTAGCTTTTTTTAGTAGAGAATTACATTTTCTTCCTCTGTTAATCAAATCCATAAAACTTCCACAAACCTGACGAACCACAATGACACCAGAAAAGCTTGATCATTAAACCCTTTGCTACCTATTCTCCTGTATAAGTCGTCATGGGTGTGTCTTTTTGTTGTTGTTTTTTTTACCCCAGTTGTGACCAATAGGTGTAAAATGTTTTGAACTGACCTGCTGTGCTCTTGCTATGCATTTCCCTAAAAACTAAAACTGCCCAATACAATCAAGTACAGAAGCGGATGCTGAAGCTCACAGAGAATGGTGAAGACTTCTTGTTACGAAAGTAGAGAGAAATGTGGGTAATCATGTTCAGTACTCTCATTGCAATTTTCAGCAATGCGATGGCTAGTATTTATTTTCCTAATTCGGTGCAGCCCTACTGACGTCTCATCCATTGACAGCTGGAGGTAGACCCAGCCTCCCATGATCCTACAAGGATTAAGCAGATATAGACGATGGCTGGATGAATTAAAGTCTCTAGAAACAAAGCAGTACACAAAAGGGCAAACTTCATTAAGTGGCTAAAAAAGTTTCAACAGTCCTCTTATCTTGATACCATTACCTCACTCCTCGGATCTGCTTAGGTCACCTCTAACTTTATTGTATGGCGGACATATTAGATTTTCTGACATCTTCAGTGTTATTCAGTCTTGACTCGTGAAAGTGAGATTATTTTCCTCCCCTAACAAAAAGTTTGGTCTCCTGCAGAAAGCTTAGAAAACATGCATGTGCTTTCAATGTGCCGTGTCAAGAGTGGCGTCCTATCCTCTTAGAAAAGCAGGAGCTTAAAGCAGTAAAGAGATCAGCAGATCACTAACATATCTGGGAGAGACCCTTCTGTCTGCTCTGACACAGCAGCTTTTATTGCATTTATGCAACGTGTGTGATTAATATAGCACATGATCTACACTAAGACTGTATGTGAATGTCCATTAGTTTGATTTTCCTGACTTACTCAAATGAAATGCATGCTTTTAATAAGAAGCAGTCTGTTAGAAAATATCTCTCAGGTTTAATGGGAGTACATAGAGGGTATACTGTAGTAGTTTTGCATCTTTGTGCATTTGGTATTTCCTCCTTAACTCGGGGTTATTCATGTTACTCTGTACAGGCATGTTTAATCAGGTGTGACACTGTCCTCTCTACAGATGATCAGCGCCGAAGCTCCGGTCCTGTTTGCCAAAGCCGCTCAGATCTTTATCACAGAGCTCACCCTTAGAGCGTGGATCCACACCGAGGACAACAAGAGGCGTACACTACAGGTCAGACGCACATCGAGTGGCGTGACATCTCCTTTCCTGTTCTCACTTCCTCTTCCTCTTGATAACCAGAGCTTTGAAAGTTTACGTCCCAGGAACAAGTTTAACCCTTTGACTTGCTTCTTAATTTATATTTTTACCTTTCTTTTTATAAATGATTATTGCTTGAAGATATTTTCTGTTGTTGCCTTCTGTTCACTTAGCACCTTTATGTCACAGTTGAAAGCTCATTACCGATATCCGCACAAAGGCTGCCTCTGTTAAGTTCTTTCATCCTCCGTTGAGGTAAAGAGTGTGAGGATGGTACCTCATTGTTTCTGATCTGCTGTATGAAAACTTTAGAACATGAATGAATACAAGAGAAAAAAGGAGTTGGAGTAAAATCAGCCTATATCTTCTCATCTGGTTGCCTTGCATTATGTCCCTTCCATTCATCCATTACACCAATCCCAATAAAACATGTTTAAAGTTGTGGTTGTTATCAAAACCTTTTGATCTTTTTAAAGTGGGTTAATGTCTTTGTTTTTATAAATCTGCATAGTTTACATTTAATCAAACCGCCAAACAACAAAAAAAATCTTATCTACTGTGTTTATACACGTGTCAATAGGCCTGTTATGATCATTTATACTGGACAATAAATTGTCCCAATAATTATCGTGATAAACGATAATATTGCTTCTTTTGAGATCATTTTGAAGTAATATATTGATAATGGCATAATAATACAAGTTTGTCTTCTCAAAGACTATTAAACATTAACTTTGTAAGCAACATTTAACATTGGAACTAGAAGATGGTTTAAATATCCATAATAAAGTAGAACAACCAAAACCATGAAGAAAATGGATTACTAAGTCTCTGTAAACAAAGTTGCCCTTCAAAAAATATTAATCATCGGAATGGGAATTGTCAAGCTCGTTTTAATTTATCATGCAATTAATTGCCCTATTGCGACAGACTTGCATGTTCTTACAATTTTACAAGAAATATGAGGCATTAGCTGGGTCGTACTCATGAATCTGTTATCGGACTTTGACTTAACAGAGGAAAAAAAGCAATGTCCTCCATTTATTCATGCATATGCAGATTCCTGGTGTGCGGAGAGGCCACGCCAACTGGGTCACCATAACAACACTCATCAATAGAGCAAGTGTAGATGTGACCTGATGTTACCAGATATTAATCAAGGTACTATAAATAGCCTGCATTACAAGGAAGGCCACAATGGGGGGGTCCTGACAGCCAATATCCTGTGGAAAATTCCACAGAGATAACACACCGCTGTGGATGTAGGAAAGGGTATAGAAGCCGAGCATGTGCCCGGGAGGAAAAAGTCACTCCTGTTCTTTCCCACTTATCTCGGACACATTTCTGGCAGGGCTGTTATAGTGACTGGCTCGCCTTTATTCACTAAAAGTCGAACGTTGATCTCACGGATCTAGGCTAGCAGTAGTTATACATTTGTTCTCGTTTTTAGCCTGTTCTTGTATGCTACAATTACAACCAACACTTACTAATTGAAGCTTTAACAAGTTTTCTTCTTAAGTTTTGTCAATGATTAATATATGAATAAAATAATTTCTATTTAAACTCACGTTCACTCTTCTTCTACCTCAGTTATTAAAGTTAACGGCTGTTTCACTGCTGCTGAAAACTGGATTGTTATTTTGGGAGTGATGCACTCAGACCATGAGGCATGCTTATATATAGAAGATACATGTATAGATTTGAGATAATTACGCTTGACCTTGTGTGTCTGTCTTTTTTGCAGAGGAACGACATTGCTATGGCGATAACAAAGTTTGACCAGTTTGACTTCCTGATTGACATCGTGCCCCGGGATGACCTCAAGCCCCCTAAACGACAGGTAGGCACACATACCCTGCTGTCACCAATCGGCAAAAACTGAGAGGTTTTTAACAAAACATTACAGTTTTGGGTGTCACACAGCAATGTGTGCTTTTAAGGATTTTTTTATTTATCTATAAATGAGGGATTTACTTCACACTGCTAAAAGGAAAAAACCCGCACATTTTTTAGTTAAAAGATAAATACTTTAGAAGCATGGTTAATTTAGAACTTAGCTGTGAGGCAACTTCCTCACTGAAGAGTGTTGTTTTCACCTGGTTTCTCTTAACCTTGGTGTGTTCACCAATGGAGAGGAAAAGTTCCAGTGTTGATTTTTACACCAGCTAGTTGCCAGTGAGTCCCAGAAGATTAGAAATTCAGATTTTAACCAGTTCAGATGCTCAGTTACTGAACACATAACACAGTAATAATTAGAGTAACAGTAGTAACAGTATAGATAGCAGTGCAAGAGATTATTGACTTCAGAAACGGGCAGAAAAGCGTGGAAATGTGGTGCGCATGTCATTTCCTTCCTGCTATTTTTATTCAGCTTATTAAAGCTATGGTGGCAACACAACAAGATCTCAATTGTGTCAAATATGTTTGCCTATGCAATCAAGCATAAACCGGCTCCACCTGCTGCATCACACATTCAGGTTTTCACTTTTAGATGTCACTGGAGTGGCCATCTCTGTCGGCACCGCGGTGCTGTAAACATCCTTGACTGGAAGCTGGACTTTTGACAGCGAGAGCTTTCAGTCGGATGTTTGCAGCCTCTTACTGCCACAAACGGTCAGCGCTAACTCCAGAAATAAAACTAATAGAGCTGTTGACTATTTGCAAAACAATCTGTTTGCTCCCAGGATCACTTCAGTGTCTGTAACAGGATCTAAAGATACATATATATATAAATAATGCGGGAGCAGGCCAATGATGTCTGTATGTCATTCTAGTGCGCCAGATGGAAAAGTGAGATATTTAAATTTGTTGTCAAGAGGACTGTCTCCAGGCTTGTAAACATCCTACACTCTCAGCTGTGTTGTCATGGAGCTGGGAGAGGGGTGTTTACACTTCTGGGGGTGGAGGAACATCGTCCTGATGAAGCCCTGCTCATTACTCACTTATGAAGCAGGGCGGCACGGGTCAGTTTTTATTAATTCAAATTAATAATTTTACCATCATGCGGGTGAGACACTAATCTGCTGAATAAACTGAATACAAACAAACTGATGTTACAGGAAAATGGCAGAGAGAGTGGATGGTTCCTGACATTATTCAGTAGTTATGTTAATCATCCTTCAAGTAATATAATAAAGTGGATTATATTCATCAAGTAAGTCTCCAAACTATCAAAGTATTATCACCCAGTGTTATGCCTGCAGATTATGTTACTCTTCCCCAACCACGTCCCATCAGTTATTTATCAGTCCTGCTCCACTCTAGCATTACACTTGCAAAAATAATTCATGGAGACATAGTGGACTGATTCAATACGTGTGTGTGTGTGTGTGTGTGTGTTACAGGAGGAGATGCGTCAGTCAGTAGCTCCTGCAGAGCCGGTGCAGTACTACTTCACCTTGGCCCAGCAGCCCGGAGCTGTGCAGGTCCAAGGCACGCAACAGGGTCAGCAGGCTGGAGCGCAGACCGCCACCACCATCCAGCCCGGACAAATCATAATCACACAGCCACAGCAAGGACAGGTACAGTCGAGTCCACGACTGAAGAGTTTTGTGTATCACACACACATTGATCCATGTATAAGAAAATCATCCAACAGTATATCAGTGGATTATATGTCTGCAACTGTGTACAGTTCTCTGCAGCACTTTTCATACGGTAAACTTTCCTGTCATGTTAAAACTTTAGTGTAATTTATTGGTATTAAACGATAGCCTGACGATGAAGAGGCAGAGAAATTATTTTTGCAAATAAAAATCTGAGAAGTGTGGTGCAGTCCATCTTCAGTCCTCTTGAGTCAGAACTTTCTGGAAAAGCCATTAATTCACTTTTATGGCTGCAAGTTTTGTCAGGCATCTCTGTCAGCCTTGCACAACTAGAGATTGAACCATTGTCCCACTTTTCATTACTAAGCGTCTCAGGGTAAGATTGTATCAGAGCGCAATTTTTTAAGCCCATCTAAATATTCCCATTTTGATTGGACTTTGATGGGACATTCTAACACAAGAATACACTTTAATCTGAACCAGTTTATTGTACCTCTGGCTGTATGTTTATGGCTCTGCCAGAAGGTGAACCTTTGCCCCAATCTAGTCGTTTCCAGCCACTAACCGATCTTTCTCTAGAACTGAACTCCATGTAGTGTCATGTATCATCCCATCACCTTCCCTATGTCTGCTGAACACCAGTATCACTAAAGCATGATACTGCCACCACCGTGTTTCACTGAGGAAATGATGTGTTGAGGGTCACCATCAATTGCAGCAAATTCAAAACAAGACTGAGCTTTACTCAGTTCAATCCAGTAAAACTTTATTAATTCTATAGGAAATTTAGATGTTTTAATTCCTCATTATCTGAAGCTCTTTCTGCCACTTTTCCTTAAAGGAAACATTTGCACAAACTCAACTAAGAGTTGTTGCCACTGGGTTTTATTTAAGGGTATCAGACTAAAAGGGGGCTGGTGCAGGTGTGAAAGTTGAAATACTTTGAATAGCCTTACAAGGCACTGTAAATGTGTACAAAACGTAGCTGCTTTTTACTTTAGATATTTTGACACTGACCTCTCTCCCAGAAGAAAATAGAACAGGAGAAACGTGCGCAGCCTTTCTCTAAAGTCCTCCACATAAAACACTCCATCCTTATGTTACCTAGACACCTGCATAGTTGGTGAATAAGAAACCAGTTCTTAGGCCACATCGGGCAGATGTTCTCCTATTCTATATTTTAACCATGTGCCTCGTGTTGTTAAGTTCTTCATACTTGAGTAATGTAGAAAGTCAACTCAGAGGATTCAAAAACTGTAACTCTGTTTCTTCTCTAAACTGAAAACAATACACACTCCTCCTCTGTTTCATATTGCCCTCGTCACCCGACACAATAGTTTATCAGTCATCCAGTTGTTTCTCTGTCTAATTATTCATTCCTGACACTTTTTCTGCCTAGTACCTCTTTCTTTCCAGTTTGGTCGCTGCATTTTATGTCGCGTTGCTGCTTCATGCTGCTTCAGCAGACTGCCTTTAGCTGAGCTGTCATACAAGTTTAGGCCTTGTGTGATTCACAGTCCTGCTCCTGCTGCAGTCCCCGGTCACACTTTGATCTCGCTTGTCCGTGGCTGGTTCGTGGGAATTACATTAACGGATAACACAAAGGTCTTTCTTTTAAAAAGAAAAAGGTCATCTGTGAAGCATTAATGAAAGTACTTTTTAGCGCCCAATTTCTTTTAACTGTTATTCCTTTTGAAAGCAAATATTTTTTAGAGATCCGCCAGTCAGAATTTTGTTGTCCAGTTTTCATAAAACTTTGGCTTATTGTTTTTAGGTGCTTGATATACTTTGAAGAAAATTGATATAAGAAAATAAAAAAAAAACTGTATTTAAGTCGTTTTTCTTGCCACCGTGTGGGAGAGCAATCACAGTAACATGTTTTAGTACTTTAAAACAAAGACAATCATTATGCTGATATTTGAAACTTTATCATCTCACGTTAGCATATATTGCATTTAGCATAACTTTGTTGGTTTGTGCTCTAGAAAATGTTGACTCTTGCCTTTAGTTCTGAGATTTCCTAAAGGATACAAACATCTCCAAATCCATCTGGTAAATTTTAAAAACTCAAAAAGCATAAAACAGAAACTTTGTCGCTCTGGTGGAGGTCTGACTGATATGTCAGTCAGATACTGGAGGTATACTGGTTTCAGAAGCTCGTCTGAACCTCCTTTTGCCAGAATTGTTTGTTCTCTCGATCAATCACCTTAAAGGCAGCCCTAAGGCATTCCCAGAGATGAATTTGTCCAAATATCTGCTGTCGTTCAGCACACTTGGTGTGTTTAGCAGAAAAAAAATAAATACTTTAGACCTAATATAGGAAGGAAGTCTAAGCTTATAAAAATAATAAACTTCTAACTTTAGTCTTGCTCAGACTCCACCGACCTTTTTTCAAATTTCAAATCATTTGAGCTGCTTTAATGCTTCCCTTGGCTTACTATGTATTCATGTTTTGTTTTGTTTTTTTGCCATTTGCTTTTTTTGTTTCCAGAAATATAACTTAAACCCGCCTTAAATGTTGTTTATTTATTTATTTATTTTTGCTTGGGGCTTTTATTTCCATTCTAAAACTTTAAACTTTCTGTGCATACACGCCACCCATGCTTACATTTTGTGCGTTGAGTTGCTGCAGTCGCTGCCCCTCTCACTGTGTGTCTTTCTCTCATTTTCTCATTCTGTTCTGTCGGCCATCAGATGTTGCAAGGTGCCACCATGCAGCAGTTACAGCAAGTGCAGGTGCAATCACAAGGCACACCCATCACGGTAAACACACATGCTTTCATATGTGCAATTATCACACTTTGTGAGACCCCTTCTCAAAACCGCCGCCCGCAAACGGTCCTGCTAGGCTGACTGAGGCCTGTAGGTGAGAGCTGAGCACAGGATGAGCTCAGCCTCTGCAACAGACGCTCAAAAATAGCGCCCTCAAAACCTCAGATGTCACTTCATTTTCCTCCCTCTTTGCTTAGATTTTTTTCTTTTCTTTTTTTTTTATTGTATTTTAGATTATTTTGTGGTTCGCTGCGAGCTGTAATGGACGTGTTTGGTTTTTGTTTCTCTTTGCTCCTCTTCACAAGAGCGCGCCCGTCGCCATGCAGGTGGGTGAGGGCCAGCAGGTGCAGATTGTTCAAGCCGCCGCAGCCCAGGGTCAAGCTCAGACGGCCCAAGCTCAAGGCCAAACCATGCAGGTCATGCAGCAGATCATCACCAACACAGGAGAGATCCAGCAAATCCCGGTAAGAAGCTGCACCAACCCGAAAGGGACGGCGAGATAATGAAGTGTAGTTGGTTTGAATTTCACAGCTGGAAGTGAAGCGTGCTGCGTTGTCCAGAGCAGGAAAATGGCTGTGTCCTTCCTGTCTGAATGACCTCTGTTCTGAGCCAAAGTCTGTCTCCCTCTTGTGGCTGTTCCCTGCAGGTGCAGCTAAATACAGGCCAACTTCAGTACATCCGTCTAGCACAGCCTGTCTCTGGAGCCCAGGTGGTGCAGGGACAGATTCAAACTCTGGCAAACACACAGCAGGTAACGAGTTCAATAAAAATAGCTTCATGGTTACACGGCACGTCTTATGATACATTTCAACCATTCTGTTTTTAACAGGTGGTTTCATGTTGAAAAAATAACTTTTTTTAAATGTTTCACTCATAAAATAGGTGCACAAGTTTTAATTTAGTTGGCTTTCAAATTCAAAAAGGGTCAAATGTATGCACAAAGTCTCCAATATTTGGGTGAATAAAATTTGTAGTCTAAACCCAGATGTAGTTGGTTAGTTTAACTCTACTTTTTCCAATCAGAAGAAAAATGGATACTTAGCAAGAAATAAGCACAGAGCTTGTACATGGCTACATTACTGTTTATTGTATATCCATACTACAAATTCAATTGCATCAATAAATCAATAACATTTAATACTGATAATGTGTTTGTAAACCCATTAGTGGAACTGTACACATCTTTGATGTGATTAAAGTGAAGCTTACTGTGTATTTGTTAATTATTCTGTGACGTTTTCAGATCACGCAGACTGAGGTGCAGCAAGGACAGCAATTCAACCAGTTCACTGATGGACAGGTAATAAATCAATTAAATCAGATTTCATCATCTCTCAGTCTAGAGTGGAGGCTAAAAAGTTGAATATTGTGGATCCACAATATTAACACAATCCACTGTTAAATGATTTGATTTAATTTTAGGTTGGAGCATATAGATGGGTGCAGAAAGTTAAACCTCTATTAATTAAGCTGCGTTTATTCTTGCTTGGCCACTCATAGTTCTTGTCTAACTCACTGATCATTTTGATTTTGAGTTACCAAGAGATAAACACACTCATTTACTAAATGCAAGGTTCTGTAACTGGATTAGGTTAGATGTTAAACGGCAATAAAATGATATTTGATTAATCACAGATTGTCATTAAAAGAATTATCTTAATTTGACCTAAAGGGGTGTAGGTTTTAACTGAAATTTTAAAGTTCAGATGGTGTAGAGTTGTGAAACTGGCTTTTGTGATTTGAAGAGGTGAGTATTTTGAACTTGTATAGAGTTTTTTAAAATTAGAGAGTAGTTAAACGCAAAGTTGATGGAGTTCTTTTTGGTAGCAGGTTTTGCAGTTATGGGTACGATGGGATGAAACGGACAAAAAGATGCACAATCATCTAAGATGCGTTGTTCTTTAACCTCTGCCTCATCCCCTTTCACAGCAGCTGTACCAGATACAGCAGGTGACAATGCCAGCAGGACAGGAACTGACCCAGCCCATGTTCATCCAGTCCACCAACCAGACGGCCGACGCACAGGTCACGCAGGTCAGCACCGACTGAGTCCAACCCGGAGCCTTTCTCTGCAACAATTAACAACACGCTCACCAGCCTGTCTGATGCAGACAGACGTCATCAACTTCAACAACAGATGCTCTGATATGATATTTGGAAGAACCGCAGATTTGAAATGAGGGACCGGGGAAGTTGCAACAAAGCTCATGTTTTCTAATAAATTTAGTTCATCGGATTGAAAACCAAAGGGACGCTGTTAGACTCCTATTGAAATTTTATTCAGACTTTGAGCAGTTCTCTTTTTGTACTTTTCTCTCTGACATCACATTGTGTAAAAAAAAAAAATAATAATAATAATTAAACCGAAGGCCTGATTTCTGTATTTTCTGGACTGCAAGGACTGTGTGTTGTAAATTTGGTCCCCTGTGTCAGCCCACAGTGGACCTTCAGTCCAGAAGCTGATTTGATGCACTTAGTTTACAAGAGCCATGCTGTCATTGTAAAACAGGGGGAAAAATGACTGTGACGTAGAAGCAGCGTACACAAAAATACATGCATGTTGGCAAGGTCCCAGACGGTTTGTGAGCAGGGAAACCAAGCAGCAGCAGCCTCAGTTTCTTTCCATCATAACATATCTGAATTTGAAAGAAACGGGAAAGTTTTGCTGCCTTTTTCACTTTCACCTGGAAGTTAACTGGGGGGAAAGAAAAAAAAATCTGTATTTGTAATGTATTTTTGGCTAGACATATCCCTTCACTCTGTGTTTTCTTTCACGTAGTTGGACGAATTGAAGCCATATACCTCAGATAAGGTTTAATTATTTACTCTGTTGGTTTATTTTCCCACATTGATGAAGCACTGCTTTCTTTTGTAAGGGCTTCAAACTGTGTAGGCTAGTAGTGTGTGTGTGCCCAGTTGAGTGTGTGCGTTTGTGTTTTTGAGCATCCACACTCGATGTTGCTCTTCCAGACTTTTTCCTCATCTGGCCTGAAGAGCAGAGAACCTCCACTCTGCCTTTTTATGCATTTTTACCCAGTGCACTCCTACCGGGAGCTTTTCCCTCTTTCGTCTTGTGCCCTGCTTGATGTCTCATGTACAGACACATGACTCCATCTGGAGAAAAATACAACTTCTCAATGTTTGCCCTCATAACTTCTCCATTGTCATTTCTCATTTGTACAGTATAAATAATGTTTTTATCCTTGTTGTTTTTGCATGTAGTTTAAATTGCCAGCATGGCATGTAATAGCTCGGTACCATTTTATTTTTGATGTTAATTTTTGTAAAACAATTCTGTTTGTGAAATAAAATAAAATAAATTGAAAAGCAGTTTTGTTTTGACTGTTTTTTTGTTTTTTTTAGGTGAGTTCAGCATCTTGTATCATCGAATTAGCAGATCCTAGACTATACAGGTGCATCTCCGTAAATAAGAACATTATTAAAATGTTCATTTATTTAAAGGGATGCATTAAGTGTTTTATGGCATGATGTTAAATTGAGTAGCTATTAAAGGACCAAAAGTTCAACAGAACAACTACATCAGGACCCTTTTTATGTCGCATTCAATCATGAGGAAGACTTGACAGCATTCCAGCTGTAATTTAAATCCAAAGGTCATTGCGGAGAAAGTTGGCTTCATCTGAGCACGTAATGTAATTGGAAAGTTGAGTGGAAGGCAAAGTTATTAGAAAAAAAAAGCGTTGAAGCCAAAGGGAAACGTGCAACCTTGAAAGGAATGTAAAGGAAACGCAGGCTCGTCGTCTCCAACCCTGCAAGAGGGATGGTCGTTCGTGAAAAAGGAACAAATAAGTTTAACAGAAGACTGAGCTGCAGCCCAGTCTTTTCTCTCGTCTGCTCAGGATAGTGGTGTTTCCTGTTATGGGATTGGACCGGTTTTTGTTGGACGCTCTGACCGCAGCTGTGGTCCACGTCATGTGAATCTCCCTCCAAAAAACCCTCAGCAGGCTTTCCTTCTCAATCACATGATTCGGTTATTCCAGTTGTTCGTGTTTTTGGGGTTTCCTTTTTTTTTTTTTTCTTTCACTCAACTTTTTAGCTCTGTCTTCTTTAGCAATGACCTGTTGAACTTTGACCTTTTTGGAGCATAATTATGTCTGCTAGACAAATGCACAACATAATATATATTTCTTTAAATTGATGTTTCCGTAATGTTCAGACTTTCAAAAAAAACTAAAAAATGAATTTTGGTTAACTGTGTTATAATTAACACAAATAAAATCTTCATTGTTGCCACCATGGTAATTAGACATTGCTGGTAAAAAAAAATAAAAAAATAAAAATTTTAATTAACATTAAACTGCCTGTCGTTTCCCCAAGCGACCATTGGAGGGCAGCACTGATCCAACAACCTAATAACTGCACTTGTACATTGTCTTCCTGAACACAGCAGGTGTTTTTGTTGAGCACGTTGTTGAAGGAACATCATCTGCTCACGTTCCCCCTGAACCGACCCAGCACATATGAGCAGCTCTAATCCCGTTATTGCCGGAGCAGGTGAAAAGTTGGATGTGGCGCAACAGAGTCACGGGTCACCGAGCTTTTTCTGAGATCAGGGCGCATTCTTTATCCCCCCCTAAATCTTAAAGGGGAGCGAGTTTTTACGACCCGACGGGAAAGCAGGCGGGCAGAAGACGAAGGAGGCTCAGCGCCGAAACCAACGGGCATCGCGGCGCAGAACTGCGCTCCGCGGCTCAGACGCACCTTTGGCTGCGCGGGTTTCCGGTTAAAGCCTTCGTCACACCGGGAGGCCCCTTTCCTAATCGACTTAAATCGCTGAACAATAACAGCATTAACGAGCGCGGACTCGGGCTCGGCTCCTTATAATAAGAGGGACGCGGATTGTGAGAACATTTGTGCTTAAGTCAAGCGTGACAGGGATTGTCCGCTGGTATTTTTCTTGGCTCGCCCACCTGCTCAGATCAAGGCAGCTTTGGCCATATGACCTGGCTGCTGAAGGCTCTGGCTGCGGTTTAGACCTTGTGATTGGGCCTTCACACCAGCTGGTCTCTCCCCGAGCTTTGAAATAATAATAATGATAATCATAATCATAACAGGAGGGAACTTTTCCTCAGGTGCTTTTTGCACTTGTTCCTCTGAAACAGCAAGAGATTTCATTTTTATTATCATCCGTCAAAACTGGAAACTTTTCCAAGGTTCCTGGAGTTTAAGGACGCAAGGACAGCTGAATGTGATGACGAGATGCCCTTTCACCCATTCAAGAAGCAATGGGGAAATGCATGAGGCCGTTTTACTTATACAGTATATATAATATTGCAAAAAAAGCCACGGGTGGTAACATGTCGGTTGTTTCAGAACGCACTTCCAACTTGATTCTTTGAAAAATATATGCAACTCATTTTCTGCATAAACATAGACCAACATTAAAAGATCATTTCTTACAATTCAGACATAAACAACACTTGCCCTCATCTGACTCCATTATTCAGAAAGTGTTGGGATCCTGAATTGTTTTGAGGTTCATTTATTAGTTTGTATTCCTTGGTCTCTTTCTTTGATCTGTCTTGTTTCTGTTATTTTTAGTCCTTCTTGTCTCTAGTTGCTACTCTAGTTTAATTATTAGGCCTAGTTATTCTTTGTTATTAGATTTATTTTCACAGTCCTATGTGTACCTCTGAGTCCTATGATTTCTGATTTGGAGTTATTATTTTTTGGCATGTGTTTAGAAGTTGTATTACAACAAGTTCAACATCACCGGTGACAAAGTTCCCGCAAATCTTGTTTGACTTTTATCATTCCCGCAACATAGAGAGGTACGGTCCACAATTTACTTGACCTTCCAATTTACAAGTCCTCCTTTTTGCACTGGGTGTTTCCGGTTTTCCACCACACTTTGCAATTTAAGGGCAAAAACAGCTGTGGATCTCTGCAGCTCCTCCAGAGTTACCTCAGGCTCTCTAGCAAGCCTCAGTCCTTCAAATAGCATCTGTGGTTCTGCTGAGGTCGAATTACATACAGGTGGATCCTCTTCACAAAATAGATGATCTGTGATGGCAATAGATCTTATTTTAGGGGTGGAAATCCCCAAAACAAAATGTTTCCAGGTCACTTTTAAAAACATTTTCTTTGTAAAACAGTTATGAAACGCAAGCTTCATTTTCTTCCACTTCACAACCTGCACTACTTTTATCAGCATAAAATCCTAATATATTACATAAAAGTTTGTAGATGTAGCATGTTCATTTTTTTTTAAAGGTTTATGACTATATGGACACATTTTCAAAGCATGTAAATTAGTATGTCAGTGTGTCCAGAAAGCAGTACAGTTATCCAACATTTGTGTTGCTTCCTGTTTGGGTTTTTTTGCAGTCTAATTATAGCTCTAAGTTGTTGGGGTTTTTTTCTATTTTATTTTCACAGATGGAGACAGCTAAGCGTTTATTGTACAATACCCTCGACGGTTGAAAATGTTAGGCCTGTGAGGCCCTTTGGAGACTAAGCCTTCATGCTGGCAGTAAGTACAGAAGTGCTTTTGACTGGCCATGAATGGGCTAGTCAGTGAGTGAGTCCTCTGGCCAGACAAGCCTGACTCAGTCTGCGTTTGTCATTGATCACACTCTCCATATTCATGCTTCCGAACGGCAGATTGCTGGGTTGAATGGCAGAGTGAGGCAGTCTTAGTTTTCTGCAGAGTTTCTGTCCCCAAACAACGTCCCTCCAAAGACTCACAACACAGAACCTCCTCCTCTTCCCCCGGAGCCGCTGCGGATCCAAATCAAAAATGGCTGAAACATGAAAGACAGAGGAGAGAAAAGATTAAACAAAGACAAACAAGAACTGCGGTCTGGGAAAGACATTAACTGGAGCGAGTAAACGTCCGAGTGCGCAACGGAAGTAAAAGGGTCGGGGCCTGAGGGCGGTGGGGTGAGTTTGTTTTGTGCTGCGTGTCAGACGCGCAGCTGATCTGAGTAGTTCTAGGTTCTCATGGAGTCAATGACGGGCTGTAAACCTCTCAGCTTGCAGGAACCTTTTCCTCACACCGGGCTCCTGATGCCCGTTTATGGGCCATCCTCAACTTCTGGGGCCTCGCATTTATAAAGTGTGCGCGCATAAAAAAAAAAAGAAATAAAAAAAAGTGCGGCGCCATGTTTTACGCACAAGTAGGCACGCATAAAAATGAACTGAGCGTCAAAGTGTGCGTAAATATGCACACACTTCTTCGCTGGCGTGAAAATGCGCGGCAGAACATCGCCAAAGGAAGGATTCAGAGGCAGCGGTTGATCAGAGATCATATCGATCTGCTGGGAAATGTTGATGGTTTATTGGCCTTTCTGTTGCCCAGACTGAGCATCCTGGAGCTCTTTCAGTTTGAGCCGCCCGCTTTGTGAACGCGCCTTTATGGACAGAAACCATCTCTGCTCTGTAATTGTACAACTTCTGCACACGATTCTACTATTTAGAACAAACGTCCATGTTCCCACTCAAAGGACGCGCTCCTGTTCTATCAGGCATTTGCTTGATCTCTTTATTTAGGGGAGACCGGGTATGGTTGTAACACTTTTTGCTCCAGCACCTTTAACTCACAGAATTTTTGAGCTAGAGTTTTCAATTTTTTATACAAAATACCCACATTTGTCTACTACAAATGGCACCAATTCAAACTTCTGCAAGAATATCACAGACCTCATGAGTTCATGTCAAATACATGGTGTTCCTTTGTTACAACCTACCCCACTACCGGGGTAGGTTGTAACACCTGCTGGGGTAAGTTGTAACAATTAGACAAAAGAAGCAAAAACAGAGGCCACACCATGTAATATCCTTCAAAAAGAGGTTTACTAAATTAAAAAAACAATACAAGAACAATGTCTCTCTCTCTGTGACTGACCATAACTCAAATATACTCTGTGTGTGTGCATGTGTGTAAATTATTCTACTAGAACAAACTTCCTTAATACCTATGCTTAATGAACACTACAAACATGTAGGTCTAACAAAAAACAATGTTAATGTGTGTGTGTGTGTGTTTGGGTCTATGTGTGTGTATCCTTAATCAGAGTCACAGTGGTGACAAATGAATGATGGTAGCCCAGGAGTACAGGCTTCGTGGGCCCAGAGACTGCATAGGGCACATTTACCCACATTTCCTGTGGCTTTGAGTTGCCAAATGGCTCCATACAGACAACACAAAAATATTCATCATCTGAGGTCTCAGAATCCTCAGCATTAGCTTTTAACATTTTCTTGGCAGGCTTTCTCTCCTTCCTCTTTTGCTTGCCTTTATTCTTTGCAAAGAAACTCTTCCTTACATTTTTTCTTCCTCTTTTCTCTTCTTCTTCCATCAGTGCTTGTTTCACTGGTGTGTCAGTGAGTATTTCAGATTTCCTTTTCTTCCTGGTCCTGCCAGTTGTTTTCCTTGGACCTGCTTTTGGAAATGGCCGCATAGACAAAGGACTGAATGCCTGACCGGGAGACACCCCTGAGGTACTTGGCTCATCTGGAGCGCAGGACATGGTCACATTATTAACTGCAGAGAAGCCAGAAGTAGTAGTCTCCAGGTGAGTTGGAGAAGAGGCAATCCCTAGGTGAGTTGGTGGAGACTGCAGCTGGAAAGCTCCAGATTTCTATAATTTCCTGAGGGAGTCTTCCCAAGGGATCAATAAAGTCAAGTCTCTAAGTCTAAGATGTCAGTGATGTATTTGGGTCGGGACGGTCAGTGACTTGTGAGGGTGCATAGTCACACTCCTCAAAAATGGCAGGATTGAAGGGCCAAATACCTGTGGATTGGAAACCGGCTTGAATGTTTTTTGGTGTTGCAGCTGCAGGTAGAGCAGTCTTCACAATACTTGGAATATCATATATCCTCATCGTCTTGGCAGGATTCATCTTCATCCAGGCATCACTTGCGACGTTCACCATTTTCTTAAATGGGCCGTAGACACTGCGATCCAGTGGCTGAAGTTTATGGCTACAGTGGGGGGGAAGGTAAGTAGCACTATACCCTTTTCTTTGCAGAAATCAATAGCTTTAACAGATAAATGAGAACAGTGATTATCCAACAAAAGTAAAACATTATGACCTTTGTGTGTTTTGCAAAATGAGCAAGGAATAAGAGGAATTCTTCCTCTTGCATCCATCCTGAGGCATTACCACTTCCTGCACTCCCTGTTGGCCCACTCTGAATGAAGAGTTCCTTGTAACGTTTACGGGGGAATACAAAGAAGGGAGGAATTGCATTTGCCAGCGCTTGCACAGTGCATGCTACTGACACGAGCACACCTCTCTCACCTGATGTCATCGCACCCACCTGCTTGACACCACGACGAGCAACAACACGGTCTGGCGATTGGACTGTTGTTACACCAGTTTCATCTACATTCCATATATCGCTCTCGTCGAAGTTGTATCTCTCAATGACCTGTACAAGGGTGTTGTACAGAATGCCTAGACATTTGGCGGTTAAAACTTGTGGCCCGTGAAAGGCTGGTGGCCTCAGGACTCCTTATTGACAGGGTGGGGTTCCTCTTCATAAATAATGTGAACCAGTCAGGCCCTGCCATCTGCTTCTCATCCCATGTTTGCGGGTGTTTGATGTTATATGTTACGGCCAGTTGATATGCAAACTTTCTGACCTAAAAGAAAGAGAAATAGAAAATCAGAGTACATAGACACAAAAAGTTTTTCAATTTGTCTAGCACCTACACTGGTATTCAATTCTTAGCTTGTCTCCAGTGACTAACCTGTCATATGCTTACCTCACGTGGAGTCAGTCCATAATACAGGTCTGCTGCCTGAGTCAAATAGTCAGCCAACACTTCCTCCTGCACCTCAGAGAAGACTTTGTTGCTGCTCCAATAACCTACACTGGGAAGATCACTGGACCCCTGTTCTCTCAGCTTCTGCAGTGATTTGCAGTATCTGCTCAGTGTTACATGGCAGATCCCATGCGCCTTCGCAACTGATCTGACTGACTTGTTCTTTGTGACCTCATCAGATGCCTTTTTTAAAACATCTGCAGGCGCACCTCTATCAGTCTTCGGTATCCAATGTCTAGGCATTCTGTAAAATTTTTAAAATCAAAAATGTTCTTAGTTGTGTGTAAGGGGATGGTTGTAACACTTTCTAAAGATGTGTTACAACCCACCCCAACCCTGTCAGCCATGTTTAGCTAGCTGTAGTAGCATAGCGGTTTGAAATTAGCACGGGAAAATACATCATATTTTGCCTGAGACATTACACTTTCATCTAATGTAAGTCATATGGTTTTATCTGCAACAGTATAAGTACTAAACAAAAAATAGTCATGATCAAAAAATTTACTTTCCTACCCCAAAATCCGTTTTTCCTCCTTAGTATCTTCACGTGCCTGTTTTCAGCCTTGACAATCACAATATGGAATTGGGGAGGAAGCGGGAAGACACTGAAAGGATCATGTGACTCCTATCTTATCCCTGATTGGTGGAACTGGTGGCGTTACAACTCTCCCCATGTTTCAACCATACCCATACAACCTATTTCTTTATTTATTTGGATTTTTTTTCTTGTAATGTATTATTTTTGTTTTCGTGTGGTGACCTTGTGCCCCAAAAGCACATTTTACATAAAGTATATAATAATTATTATTATAAATACTCACAATACTACAAACAAGGACGTTGCCATGTTTACTGCTTCACGTGGCGGCAGACTTCCGGGTGTTTATATTAATTTACCTACGTATTTATGGGTGCCGACAGGGCGGATCAGCAGCTGCGCTCTTATTTCCCGCAACTAAAGATTTAGAAAGAAAAAGTGCGCAGCCAGGTGCGTGCGCAAGGCTTTACGATTCTATTTTTTCGTACGCCAAAAGTTTTAGCGTGAAAACTGCGCACTATTTTATGCACGAGGCCCCCTGGTGAAAGAGCATTAACGCTCCTCCTATTTACTTTATTTATGTACATTTGTAGCATGAACTTCCACGTTTTTTTTATTTTATTTTATTTTATTTCATTTATTTATTTATTTTTTTGCAACAATCCAACTGTTTTCAGATGTTGTCACATGGCTGTCTGGAGCCTCCATGCGTGCGCCACGCAGCTCTGAGCTTTCATTGCTGGATGAAAGGAGAGCAGAAGCAAAGCGCTGCTGGAGTGTGAGGGACTTTATGATGCTGAGACTTTAATGAATAATCCAGGACTTTTCAACGCCATCAACACCTTTTCTCTTTGGTTGGGGCCTGATTTAGACCGCAGAGAAACCGACCAAGAGAAGAAGGGCTTCGGATGCTCTAATGAAGTTTAGTAGACCCCCACAAATGAATTTAAAAGGGCACCTGAGAAAAACCCCCACTGACCTCTTTGCGCTTTACAATAAAGTTATTGTAAAGCGCTTTACAATGAAAGCGCAAATTATTACACAGTTTATTTCCTTACACATCTTCACTTTAGGAACATTGCTGAAACATTCCTAACTTAAGGAAAGGAAGGTCAGATGAAGGAGACCACAAACAGTTCTCTCCATGCCACCAATTGGCCTCTAAAGATGTTCAAAAACATAACTAAATTCATAACTTTATCTTTTTTTTCTCTCTCTCTGTTGAAAATAAAATAAAGAGCACTCAAGAGATATTTTTGCCCCCTTTGCCACAAAATAAAATTTGTCTATAGTTGCAAAAACATATTTTCTAAACATAAACTGAGTTGTTTTTATTTTAGGAAGGAGTGAAATTACACAAAAATATGTCTGTTTTCATATTTTAGAACAAATTGATCTAATTTTTAAACAGAAAAAAAGGCCAGCTCATTGAGCTCCTTTCTTGATGCATGGAAAATAAAATATAAGTAGCTCATTAAAAAATTAAACACTGTAGCGTAAAGCAACTAAACAGTATTTAATTTGAAATGTTATGCATATACTATTGTAGATAATCTGTACAGATACAGCAAAAAGCACACAGAATAACTTCAGAAACAGAACTTTCTCATTTACCTCATAATAATAATAGATACGAATTAAGAGAGGCTTCTTTATCTGTGGTGTTAAGGTTTGTACCTGATGAAGCCAAGAGACGGGACAGATTTTTCTTTTTTTCCTATTTCAAACTTATTAGTACAACAAAAAAATCTATGTTGAGTTCAGTTGTATTAGTAAAGTTACATAGGTTGCCATCTTGAATCCCGTTCAAGCCGTATGACCGACCTGTTGTACAGGGTCTGCATTCACACAGCTGTCAGCAGGTGGTTCAGTTTGCAAGGCAACAACTTAATCAGTCACTAGTGAAGTTAGCCTAAGATTAGTGATGTGTTATGTAAGGGCGCTCAGGCGCTTAATGTCTAGATTTGTGAAACACTCCAGCTGGATTCCCACACGCCAGTCCAGGGACTCCATGTTCCATAAACTGGTGGCATAAAATAAGACGAATCCTGTTTAATACCGGCAGGAAAACAAGGATTTCAGGAAAGAGAGCAAAAATGTTCATTGTTTTTGAGCTAAAGGAAATCAATTTATTCTAAACTGTTTTGTGAAAGTACTAGTATTAGTACCCCTTAGACCAGGGGCGTCAAACTCCAGTCCTTGAGGGCCACTGTCCTGCAGTTTTTAGATGTGCCACATGTACAAAACACAGGAATGAAATGGCTTAATTACCTCCTCCTTGTTCTCCAGAGCCTTGCTAATGACCTAATTATTCCATTCAGGTGTGGTGCAGCAGAGGCACATCTAAAAGTTGCAGGGCACCGGACCTTGAGGACTAGATGTTGACTTATGACCTAAACCTTCTTCAAATCCCCCCTCAACTTTACCCCTGACCTGTCTGCTGTCTTCCTTGGACTCTGCTTAGTGTTTCGGTGCATCACATTATCTCCTCTTCACAATTGTGCTTTGCTTCATGCCGGCACAAAATCCCCCCCAAAAGAGCCTGAAAGTTCAAAGGGGACCTGCTGAAACTGATTCCAGGTATTGTCATGCATGTTCAAAACCAGCTACAGGAAGATTCTGCTCTCACAGAATCTCTTAGACGTTTTTGCATTCTATCCCGTCACAACAACACACTTGAATTATTTTCATTTAGGCTTATCTGTCAGAAAATATGATTTAAAAAAAATTTTTTTATTACAGAGTATGTGAAATGTGTACTTGGTAGAACTTCGGATGACCCAATTACAGCTATTGCAGGTGTGTCTCTACCAGCTTTAAGAAAACATTTAGCCTGTTTAGCTTCAAAAGCAGCTCAAGCTCAGTCAGATTGGATGAAGAGCATCGTAAAAATTGAGCCTTGCCACAAAGTCTCAATTGGATTTGGATCTGGACTTTGACTGGACCATTGTAACATGGTCTTCTGTAGCCACTGACAGTTTTTCTCCCAGTTATGCTTGAGGCTGCAAGCTTCTTCTTGCCTTTTTCTGACCTGTCAGTGTAAGTGAGCTGTCATACTATTTTCATTTTCAGACGACAAATTGTGCTTTTACAGATTTTTAAAAGACAGTTTTCTTATGTTCCTCAGGGCTGGTTATTAGTGATACATTCGTTTTCCTAGTTACCCAGTTTGTGTGCTTCCCTTCACCCCGTGTGCCATTTTCTCTCTCTCTCCTCACACCTGAAACCCATTTCTAATTGGCTATCTGTTTCTTGTTCAGTAACCAAATATACAACTCATTCTCAGTCACTCCTTGCTGGTTCCTCATATCAAATCCCATTCTTTTCTCTGTTTTCTCCCTGTCATTTTCCCTGAACCTCCCTGTTGTCTTCGGTTTCTGGACTCCTGTTTTTTTTGCTCTGTCCTCTTTTCCCCGTGACTTTTGCACGTTTGATCTTCATCTTTCCGCTTTTCATCATCAATTCTCCGCTACTGCCGCTCTTGCATCTGGGTCCTACTTTAAGCAACACGCCGTGACACTTAGGTTTTCACAGATCAACTGAATTTATAGTCTATTACAAACTGATGGACTCTGGATTTTTGTTTGTCCCGTCTTCGTAAACGGTGCTAAGAAAAGATGCAAAAATATTGTAGGGTTTCACTTGTGTCAATTTTCTTTGTTTTTAGAAGGAATCGAGTGAACAAAAGGAAACACAGAAAGTCTTTTTTTGGTTAGTGCCTGAGATGTCGCGGCCAACAGGGTTTTGGGAAGGCGCCTCTCCAGGCCCTGAGACAGATGATCCTGCTGCGGGACACCGAGCTCCATATACCACCATGTTTGTGTCATAACCACAAGTCCCTGTGTGTGTCACAGTCATAGATTTAGAAGAGCGGTGTGTGTTGAGGATGAGGTGCAGACTGTCAGTGTCGCTATGTCCCTCAGCACCTGTTTCTACAGTTTCAAGCGGCTGTAGCCATGGATCCAGCCCCCTGCTAACAATAAACACGAGTGACATTTACGTTTCAGGGGAAAACAACCCCACCGTTTGGCAACGAGACCATCTGAGAGGCTTTAAGGGGCATCTCGGCAAGTTACGTCATTATCAGCGTCATTGAAAAGTTTATTTTTCAGCTTCAATTCAGAAAGTTAATTTGCATATTTTTACATTACGTTTAGTGATTATAGTTTACAGCCAGTGAAAACAAATAATTCAGCCCTCTCATGAAGTGAATTTTAAAAACGACATTATTTAATACAAAACTTTGAAGCTCGTCACTATCATGGAGAAAATCGCAGTTGTCCGTTAGACGGTTACTGACACCCTCCACATGGAGGACAAGCAACAAAAAGGATTGATAACGGACAATCACAAAACGGCTGTATTAAAAACGTTTAGTGGAAAGAAAGTGTAGCAGAAAACCCCCCACAAGGAACTGGGGTGACAGTAGCTTTGAGAAGACTGTCGAACAAAGGTCATTCAAGCTCGACTCAGTCATTTAAGAGCCACTCATCTCGACTGCTGCAGAGTGGCCCAAAGTCCAAGCTTGCGACTCTCACGTAATTTTCTACTTGTCTGAGAAACTTGAATTTTAGGTTTTCCTTCCACTCAACTTTCCATGATTACGCTCTATGAGCAGACAGCCTCATGAGCAGTGACTGCGTGTGGTTCAACATATTTGTGCGTGGAGTCACTGACGCCTCTGGATAACTGTCAAGAGTCCAAGAGGAAAAGTGACACAAATAAACATTTAATATATGGATGTAGGTCCGTGTGCAATTAATGTATATTATATGTAGATTTTTACATTTTTTTAACGGAACACATTTTCCATTCCATTGGGATGCTTTTGCATTTTGTAATATCAGATCACACAATCAGTAATTTGTAATATCAGATCACTCCGCTAAATCGGAGGCTGATGTGCGTCGTTATCATCCAACTTTTAGGACTTGGCCCGGGATCAGTTCGTCTTCCAGGAAATCTTCCTAAACGTTGGGTTTGTTAGTGCTGCCTCATTCTGCTGTGCAGCTCTCCATCCCGACTTCTCCGCCTCTTCAGTTTCTCCCCGCACAGCAGGTCACCCCCAGAGAGACCAGCTTCTCCCAACCAGCCTTCAGACGTCCTCCTCGGCGCTTTCCGAGCCTCTCCTTGGAGTTTCGTAGTTGTTGCTTGTTTTTTTTTTTTTGTTGTTGTTTTTGTTTCTCAGATGCAGTTTCTTTTCATCCCCCAGATGTGTCTGACTCCTGCGCGCTGCACCCCGCCTGTCGGAGCGGAGGAGCGCTGGACCGGAGGGGCGCACCGGGAGGAGAGCTGATGTGGCGCGGCGACAGCACGAGAAACGGCTAAGAGCAACTCAATCACAGCGGAATATATTCACGGAAATGACTTTAGACGACGCGGAGAGAGCGCACGGCTGTCACTGCCGCTTGTTGTGCTGAACCAGAAGCTGCGAGCGCTGCTCGACTCGACTGTTTGCGCGCTGCTTTCAAAGTGATGCCAGGCCGTTGCGCGGTGTTACTGGAGTCAATGCATGTGCGATTCACCTCTCTGCAACCTCGCTGATCGGCCTCTTGCACCGGACCCTGAGCAATGGTCACCGAGGGTCACGTTTCAGCGCGACGCACTTATCAAACTCTTGCGCTTTCTGGCTCTCAAGACCGCGTCTTGATTCACAGATAACTTTTGAGGCTCGGTCGGGTCCAGAAAGGCATGGTTTCAGGCTTGCGGGACTTTACAAGTTGTAGTCCACTTTGAGGCAAAGCTCCAGGGCATGATCCAGTGAGAGGCGGCAGGGGAAACAGTCGTGACAGGGGAGAGAGAGAGGAAGAGAGAGAGAGAGAAAATAAAATGCTCGGAAGTCCATCCAACAACGGCGGCCTCAGAATGCTCGCTCCTCCGGCCCCGAGCGACGACAGGCGGGTCGAGTTCGTGGCGCTCACCGCCGTCCAGACCGAGCGGAGCGAGCCGTCCACCCCGGAGCGCGGACACCCGTCTCACCGCACGGGGCTCCTGGGCACCCCGCTGCCCGGACCGCCCGGACCCCGAGCCAACGCGTCCGCCTCCAGTAAGCGCTTCAGAAAGTTGCAAAACTGCCTTTACAACGTGCTGGAGAGACCGAGAGGCTGGGCATTCATCTATCATGCGTTCATGTAAGTGTTGCTCTCATCCGTGGCATCACGGTTAAACCCATAATGCAACTTTTAGAAACTTGGAAAAAAGTTATTTCCAAAGCCACTTGTTCTTTTATTTATGTATTTCTTTATTTTTAATTGGATCTCCCAATTTAGCTTCTTGATACAACCATTTGCTAAATTTTCCAATTAGGTCTCCTGAGTTGCCTATGCTGCAATTAACCGGATCACTCTCCATACATCATCTCCACATGAGGTCTACTGTTCAATTTTCCCCTCTGGTTTAGTAAATTAGGAGAACAACTTTGGATATTTAGTTTGATTTGTCTAAACCCACAGGAGGGGCAGGTTTTGAGTCAAACCCCACCTTGTCTTCTTTTGTTTTTCCAACTTAACACACTCGGTTATGTTGTTGTGAATGATTTTCTCCAAAGACGTTTTGATGAAATTAGAAAGTCTAAGATGTGGGAGGGTCTGCGATAACAGCTTGTCTTCTTTTTTGTGACTTTTGAGAATTTCTCTGAATTTCATGTGGATTTATTGCAGGAAGGGAGAAAAAGGCTGAACAATTTTCACATTTGAACAAAACACACCTCCGACTTGAGCAACTTCTCCAAATCTTGGAGCCCACATGCCAAATACACTGTAATTTATGTCACTTGTAAACTGTGGAAAGCTCCTGGGTACGAAGGTGCGGTCTTCTTCATTGCACTTTGAGATTAACATGTGGATTATTAGTCACTTTTTTAATCCAGATACTTCATGTGTGCCAGATTTTACTTGTAATCTTATTAGAAACAAAACAGGTATGATTGTGTGACTTATGGAGCTTAAATATTTGCTAAAAGTTCACTCTGCGCATATTGAGGTTTCTCGATATATTTCAACATCTTCTGCAGTGAAGCCCTGGACTGTTTTGCCTGCAAGTTGCTGCCTTCCAGCTGTTTCTGGAACATGATGGACGGAGCGTTATGTGTGGGAGCTCCTTGGACGGGGTCGTGCTTTGCGTGTCATTGTTTATACAAGTACAGCTGTCTGCCTGCCAATGCCATCATGTGTTTGTTGCAGAGGGAAATCCCACTGCAGGGCTGTGACTCTTGCATGTGTTCTCACCGTCTGCATTTGTGAGAGCAGAGTCCTCCTGTAGCTGGTTTTGAGCATACATGACAATACCTGGAATCAGTTTCAGCAGTTCCCCTTTGAACTTTCAGGCTCTTTTGGGGGGGATTGTGTGCCGACATGAAGCAAAGCACAATTGGGAAGAGGAGATAATGTGATGCACCGAAACACAAAGCAGAGCCCAAGGAAGACAGCAGACAGGTCAGGGGTAAAGTTGAGCGGGGATTTGAAGAATGTTTAAGTCAACTGTTCAATCCTTTATGTAATATTAGGAAGACTATGAGCTGCAAGTTTACAAAACATGACCATCTAAATAAACCAAAGGACAACCACGAGTCCCTCGGTAACTCTGGAGGAGCTGTAGAGAATCTACTTGTGCAGTGCTCAATTCTGGTGTTTTTGCTTTTTTTTTTCTCCAGAGTTTTTCTTTGATGAGGATCCGTGGGTTATTCAGGACAGTTGCTTGTGACATTTTCCAACCAAATGTTGGATTGGATAGCAGCTCCGCCGTTGTTGTTATTCCTCCATGAAGGAGCCTCGTGGACGTGTCCGTATCAGGTTTCAGATGAAGCTTGACTCATCTTGGGAGAGAAGTTCTCCTGTGACGGCCTGCTTCGTGTTGCTGTCCTAACCAACGCCATCACACGCACATCCTCAGATCGAAACATAGCGGGATCTTCGAAGACTGCGCCGAGGCGTCCATTTTTTTGTTCCGTGCACATCTGTCTGCCTGAGAGCATTCTTCCCATGGCGCTGCATCACTCCGAGCGCCGCATTTCGTTTGATTAATTACACGCTCATGGTAAGCGAGGAAAATACGGCGTACCGTGAAGCTCAATTAAAGGTATGTTGATCTGTTATAATTAAATTGAACCATGCACTGCTGTGTTGGGTGCTGTGCCAACTTCAGTTGATCCTTTAATTAGTCCTACATTGTAGCAGGGGACCCTGGAACAGATGTGTTGCTTCTTCAGAGTCTCGTCGCAGAGGTTTGTGGGGAAAAAAAAATGGGGTAAAGAGCCTCTCTTCTTATCTATCTAAGCTGATCATAGTACGCCATGGATAACTTTTGCACCCTCCGTCTCCCACACCTCCTGAACTCATATTGCCTACCAACCACAGAGGAGGGGTTGAAATTCAGAAACCTTCTCAAAAAACACGATGGAGTTCCCGGAAATGTCCATGGAAAGCTTCCTGGTGCAAGGAACCTCTCTGCGTCTGAACCCGATTGGTTGCTTTCACAACCTGATAAGGGTTTGATTCAAGCGGTGCATTCACTGTCTGAAATGTTAAGTCCCACTTGTGTTGTTGTGGTTCTTTGAGTCATTCACTGCAAATACTCATCATAACCGCTTTAAATCAGTTTGCTGTACATGCAGGTTTATTCACATCCCACCAAGATGGTTTTGGTTAAAGTTTGGTGTTGGGACGTTTAATATCTGTCAGTGCAAGCTTTATGTAATGTTTAGTCAGTCACAGTATGTCCTGCACTGGAGGTTCTGTTTCATTTTAGAGCATTTTTTTGCTTGTCAGGCTCTGGTTTTGTGAAAAATTAGACTTTGTGGTTGCAATTATTCATTTTTTTTTGTTTTTACCATTTTGTGATAACATTTGAAGTCCGTATAACTCATTCCATGTTTGGCATTACCATCAGAGCCGCACTACATAAATGCAATTGTCGCAATATCAGTCTGAGAGATATTACAACTGCAAATTCATAGTCATCGGTTACTTTTTTTCTATATGTTCACACATATTAAATACTGTAATAGTTCTGGATAGTTTTGTCGCATCAGATTTTCGTGGACTGGGAGTCACATGCGGGTTGTTTTGCACTGTTATTCTCGAAGAGGTTACGCATGTGTAAACGTGACACATGAGCCTGCCACAGGGCCAAAAACATTCAGACAAGGCTCAGCCGCAGTGCTTCCCCTCACCTCTGACCTTCCACCCTTTTCCACCATTGGCGGTGCCACATATAGCTGTTCACACGGGGCCATCTGTTTTGGCCACATTATTTTATCCCAGTGGAGGGTTTTCCAGTGTCGTGGAAAACCCACTGCTGATCTGTGATCAGGCCTTCTCAGCGCTGCTAAATCCAGGCCTGCCGAAGTCCAAGACCGCATGTCATGTCGTGGTCTTGGCCTTGGCTGGGTGAACCGCTGTGGCGTCTGGCTGAGTGCAACATTCCACTGGACTTCAGCCTGAAAATACAGTGAAAAGTACACAAGACAGGACCGGGAAATGATTAAAGGCCGAGCACTGGCCAGTCAGAGAGATTGATCGGCTCGGAGGAGGGTGAAGATTTACTGGCCCTCCATTATTGATGTCTAATCGAGGAGGAGCCACAGATGTGGTATAAGATTTTAATGCAAGGGTTTAAGAATGATCTTGTGCAGCTTCATCAGCATGAGAGGAATAGCAAGATATTTCTTCTTCTTTTATAAGGCACTTTAAGGAGAAATCTTCAGAACATAGCTGATTTATCGTTTCAAATATTTCTTCACTATCGGAAAAATGTTCTTGGCAGCAATTTAGATAAAGTGTTAAAAGATTTTTTAAAAAATTATTTAAGATGTTTAATTGACATTCAAACATTTTTGCTATACTATAATCAAGTTGTTACATGTCACTTGGTTACACATTGTGTTGGGGTTTCTCATAGTTCATCAATAATTCTGATCCCTCCAACACATTTTTGAAAATCTGCCTTTAGTTTTAGTGACGTATGAAGTTGGAATGCAATGAGAAAAGAATGCCTTCCCACACATTTGACACATGTTTGGTTTAATTATCAGACAGCAAGCAATAACCCAAATAAAAACAGCACTAATCAAGTGCTCTGTCTGTGCTGTTGAAGTTTCCTTCACCTTGACATGCAGGATGATTGAAACTGGACTAAAGTTATGACTTAAATGACTTTCTCCCATTTTATTTCTCCAACAGAATGTAACTTGTCGACTTTCTGTCTTAGAATTGTAGCCGCTCTGTAGTTTGACAGTGTAAGCAGAGGAAGTGAACGTCTGAATGCAGCCATTCAGTTCGTCTCGGCCGCGCTTCCAAATATTGAATTCATATTATTTGGCTGGAGACTGGAGTGGAGGATGTTTTTTTTTTACAGGTGATTTGCGACGAGCCTCTTAGCGTCGAACTGGCGCTTTCTCAACAGACAGTTCCAGACTTTCTGTATGAAGCAAAGCGCAGAGCAGGTGACAGAGAAATTAGTCTGCATGGCTTATGGTTCAACATGGGAAGATTTACATATGAAAAAAGTGTGATTTTCTAAAATCTGGCAATGGAAACTGCAGCCTCATGGCTACCCGAGTTGCTATCTGCAGGTATTTAATGTCAATGAGCCTTGATTCGTTTTCTAACCATCTTAAACCTTTAGAATCTGTTCAGGACTTGCATGAACCAGCTTCATACTGTTTTGCAGAAACGGTAGATATTTCCTCACTTCTACCTTTAATGGGACAAACACACTTTTTCATAAAATGTGGAGCCAAAGTCTCATTATCTATCAACAGAAAAATAAATGATAATGTCTGACTCCCAGCTGACTGCTCTCCAGTCTGCAGTGACGGTTTCCAGAGAATTGATGACGGTAATTCCTTATATGTTCTTTCCGTTAACAGCGCTGTGCACATAAAACCTCTCAGAAACTATTCTCCAAAGGTATATTGCCTTTTCATCTCTGAAATGAACAAACTAATTTAGCGCTGACAGCTTGCCTTTTGAATGCCTTTTTGTGCGGTTTTCACTCTCTACAACTGAACCCAGTTTCAGACAGCTAATCTACTTTTTTTTTCTGGACTCACTGAAGCAGTCTGGTCTCCGTTTTGACCGCGCCAAATAAAACCCTCTACAGTCAGACACCACCCTCTGGCTCCCTCCGAAAA